TTATTTTCAATGCCCTTTTCTTGTCTGTCTTTATCCATGATTAATGGCTACTGCCACAAAAGAAATAAAACAGGTCATATGACCACTAGCCTGGTGCAATGACAGAACACGTGGCAAACAACGCCCCTACCAGCAGTTAAAACTGAGCATTTAGGTAACCAAGGGAACCATCTCAAAAAAAGACAGAAAAAATTAATTCAGGATCATAGATAATAAAAAGCCAGATGGTATGAACTCAAAAGCCCACACATCTACATTTAAAGTCTACTAACCTCCCATGTAAGCCAAGACAACAAAAAATAACATGCAGGCAAGCAGTGTCACCCAAGTGAAATATAATCACTAATGACTATATTTCACGTGGCTGACACTGGTTTGTAAGACTGCATTTTCTCTGTGCCCCTTTTTTCGGCTGTCTAGGCACTTCGATACTTTTTGGCAAGAGTATAGTAAGGAGGCTAATTCATATACTGTATATAAATAAATAAAATAAGCTCACGTTATGAATAACTTTAAGGCCAAGAGATGCCAAAAGTTCACTTAACAATGGTGTCATCTAGTGGCTACTGAATGAAGTGCATATTAAAAAAAAAAAAAAAAATCAATAAAGAAGAAAGCAAAGATATACAGCTCCTACTTCGAGGGACACTATAGTCACCAAAACAACTTTAACTTAATGAAGCAGTCTTGCTGTATAGATTATTCTCCTGTAGTCTCACTGCTCAATTATCTGCCATTTAGGAGTTAAATCACTTTGTTTATGCAGCCCTAGGCACACCTCCCTGCATGTGACTTACGAACCGTAGTCCCTCCTCAGCTAACTTACCATTTTAAGTTCTCCTTTCGCAATACCACCTGGAATGCAAGCTCTGTGTGCATCATCACTAAATCAACTTCTATCCATGACTAATTCATTTCACATTCCCTAAACCTACTTGCTGTAACTGAAACTTGGCTCTCTTTCCCTCTGACACTGCTATTCCTGGCTCGTTATCCTTTGGTGGTCTTCACTTTACTCACAACCCAAGACAGTCTGACAGTAAGGGTGGCAGTGTGGGGTTTCTGCTTTCATCCCATTGTACCTTCAAGCCTCTACCCTTCCCTCTCTTTCTCCTCTTCTGAAATTCACTCAATTCACCTGTTCAAACTCATCTCATTTCGCTGCCTGGCTTCTTTACTTTCAAGTAATATTTCATCCCTAATTCTCAGTGATTTCAACATTCCCATTAACCCACCCATGACCTCAAAATCCTTAAAACTTATTTCAATTACCCTACTCCCTTGGGCTAGCACAGGCTTATTCTCCCATGCATGTAGCTGGCAATACCCTCAATGTTATCCTTTTCAGATGCATGCACATCTGTAAAACTCAATTTCTTCTCTCAGGTAACCACTTCTTATGTGTTCTTGGGTGCCCCCTCAACTCAGAAGGAACCTGAATTCTGATATCTGTTCCGAACTGCCCTGGACACTGCAGCCCGGCTTCAAGCATGCACCTCAAGGAGGACGTACCTCCAATCATGGCACACTAAGTCAACCTAATACCTGTAGAGATGCTCCCGTTCAGCTGAACGCTTCTGGGAGAAGTCTCGCACCTTGTCAAACTTTGTCTATTCTAATTTCATCTTGCCTTTGTACAGCACAGCCCTTGCCCTTTCCCTTGCTAAACAATTAAACTTTTCCTCTCTCATTAGTTCATGCTCCCACAATCCTAGGCGACTCTTTAATACCTTCCACTCTCTTCTTCACGCTAACCTAACAGCCAATAGCTTTGCATGCTACTTTACCGACAAGATTAAACAATTAAGGATAGAATTCTCCCACTTTGGCTCCTCTCTCACTCTTTCACTTGGACTGTACCTTCCCTACCATTCATGCCTTCTCCCTGGCTACTAAACAGGAGGAGGCTGTGCTTTTCCTTTCCTCTCGTCCACCTTATTCACTTGATCTCGTCCCATCTCACCTTCTCATCAGATCTCTCTCCCCTTGTCTAGTGTTGTCCTTAACACACATCTTCAACTGCTCTATTTCTTTTGGTGTTGTCGCTGCTCCCCTTAAACTTACTAATATTGTGCCCGTTCTGAAAAAGACATCTCGTTGACTCGTCTTTCCCTTTCAGCTATCGCCCCATATTCCTGCTCCCTTTTTCCTCAAAACTTCTAGAAAGGCTTGTTTTTATTTGGCTTGCTTCCTCAATTCCAACTTTCTCCCCTTCGATCTGGCTTCTGCCCCCTCCACTCGACAGAGAGTGCTCTGTTAAAGTTACTAATGATCTAATCAGACTCTCCCCTTCAATCATTTAAGAAGGGCCTTAAAACCCATCTCTTCAGGAAAGTTTATGGCCTAACAGAGTAATCTCTACCTTACATACCTGTCTCCTGCTCTCTCCTATGGGACAGTGCTTTGCTCTCTCCTCCAGCTCTGCTTCACTCCTACTTGATATTTCTTGTCCTAATGTTTCAAATACCCCACCTCCTATAGTCTGTAAGCTCGTTTGAGCAGGGCCCTCTTCAACCTATTGTTCCTGTAAGTTTTCTTGTAATTGTCCTATTCATTGTTACACCCCCCCCTCTCAAAATATTGTAAAGCGCTACAGAATCTGTTGGCGCTATATAAATGGCAATAATAATAATAATAACTAAATCCAAAGGCTGCAACGCCATACTAATTCTTCTTGAGCTCTCTGACGCCTGTTGATCCAAACTTTCCAAACTCTTAAATTCCTTGGTCTCTGTGACACTGTCATCTTATGGTTCTCCTCCTATTTTACCCAGCATTCATTCAGTATCTCATTTTCCAATGACACCTCCTTCCCTCGTCCTGTCTCCAAGGCTCTGTTCTTGGTCCCCTTTTGTTCTCTTTTTATACTGTCTCTCTTGGCAAACTCATTAATTTGAATTCTGCTACCACCTGTACGTCGATGACACCTAGATTTGTCGCTCCTCCCCGATCTCTCTAACACTTGCCTTTCTTCATCTCTGACTGGATATCCACCTGCTTTCTGAAAGTCAATCTCTCTAAAACTGAGCTTCTTATTTTTCCTCCTTATAATACTGATCCTCCTCTTTTGCTCTTCTTGCAAGTTGATGAATTTAGGGGTTACCCAGTTGTGCCTAAGATTTTTAGAATTTTTTTTTTTTTAATCCTGGACTGGTAAGGGAGCCTTGAGGACTGGTTTATGGACCACTGTTCTAAGGTTCTAAGGCAATAGGTAAGATATCCTTGAACTTAATTTGTAACTGTTACGTAGTAACTCTATCAAGCGTTTGTTAGGTGTCTGGGTCACCCAGTTGCCCTTAAGCCTCTTGGACAGATACATATCGATCTTGCACCACAATAGCAGATATTATTGAAGTAAGATAAGCAACTGCTGAGAGTAGAGTTGGTGATCAAAAACTCTAGATCTTGACTAGGGAAGGCTAAGAATGTCATGTTAAGGAGTTATTTCTGAAACTCAATTCTATACATTGTATACTTTTCTTGTAACAAAGGTAACCAGCTCAAGCAGAAAATAACTGGGGCATGGAAATCAGGACATTTAGGTCATTGGTGAATTGATCAAAATATGGTTTGTGAAAGTAAGAGCAAAGTGTTATAGAAAGGGAAAGGAAATATAGAACAAGAGGTGGAGATGGTTTTAAAAAAAAAAAAAAAAGTATAATAAGAAGAAGTGGGGCTTTATTAAAGGGCTGCAAGGTGGCCAACTGCAGGGCTCTCAATTGCCATTGGACTCATCCTTAATTAAAGGATTGTGGTGTGTCATGAAGGACTGATGTCAATAGGCCACATCTAGAGCTTTAGATATTTGATGCCATTTGACAAGTCCATTTGTTCACATTTTAAATGCAGGAGGTTTGTAGAGGGGTGCAAGTTTTTTTTGTAGAGGGGGACATGAGTTTTTGTGATTAGGGCTGCAGGGGTCTTGGAGAGGAGGGCATTGCTTTTTGTGAATGAGGGGGCAGGAGGTTTGTAGAGAATGCAGGGTTTTTTGTAAATAGGGGTGCAGGGGGTTTGTAGGGGGCAGGGGTCTTGGAGAGGAGGGCAGGGATTTTTGTGAATGGAGGGCGCAGGGGATTTGGGGGGCATGGGTCTTGGAGAGGAGGGCAGGAATTTATGTGAATTGGGGTGCAGGAGGTTTCTAGAGGATTGCAGGGTTTTTTGTAAATAGGGGTGCAGGAGGTTTGTAGGGGGCAGGGGTCTTGGAGAGGAGGGCAGGGATTTTTGTGAATGGAGGGCGCAGGGGATTTGGGGGGCATGGGTCTTGGAGAGGAGGGCAGGAATTTATGTGAATTGGGGTGCAGGAGGTTTGTAGAGGGGTGCAGGATTTTTTTTAGACAGTGGTTTTTGTAGTTGGGGCAGGGATTAATAAAAGGAGGAGTTTGTAGAAGAGGGATCTGGGCAGGATTTTTTGTGGAGGGGTTTTGTAGAATGGTAGGTTTTGTAGAAGGGGGTATATTTTGGGCAGGGGTGTAGGAGGGGAGTGGGGGTTGCCAAACATAGGATCCGCCTCGGGTGCCAAATGCTAGGTATACCCCTGCTTGCGAGGTATGTCTAATTACAATATCTGAGTGTGCACTTAGATATAATATGGAACAAACACACACAGGATGATTCACTAAAGTGAGAATAGTTGGTAATTCAAATGATTATCAAATGTATGGCCAAAACAGTTGTAACTGTAATATGTATATATATATCCAAATTATCTTGGAGGACCTTTAAATTTGAATTCCTTACAATTCTCAATTTGGTGAATAACCTGATACCTGCTCAGTTCACAAACCCCATGGAAAACACTTTTAAAAACCCCAGTCAGCAAGTGGTTAAACATAATGCAAAAACAACTAAAGTCTGCAGTCCGTGCAATGAAATGATACCGTGGATCAATATTTTGCTAACTGACCCTGCAGACTATTCTTCCTTTGAACACACAAAGACAGACAATACAGACTGTTCGATTTGTAGTGGATTTAGAGACAAGCACCGTGTACAAGGACGGCCTGTATCCAGATGGGTGTGGTATGGCTCTGCCTCCCTATCCTGCTGCAGGGGAAGTGTCTGGGGCCAGGGCTGGGTTTGTTTAGCTGAATGTGCTGTCAGATTGCTCAAACTTGAGGCAGACAGAGCAGTAGGAGGAAGGCCAGGCTGTATTCTGAAGCATCACAATTTGGTGAGTTCTTATTACTCCCTTTTTTAAGGTTTAACATTGTATCTCTCACCCTGCACGGTTACTCATGTCCCAATTCTATGTATATGTACACAGATATTCACTATACGGTGTATTGTCAGATATTTATTTTTAGATTGGAATAATGTAAGTTACCTATGTTCTCACTCTGGTTATATAGGCCTTAAATTTAAAATTTACTTCTAGCCCACTAAATCTCTCATTTTACTGTCTAACCTTGTCAGCAATTTAATTTATTTTATGGGATGAGATTAAGTGGTTTTTTTTGTGTGTGTGCAATGTAACAAATTAGCACAGAAAAAGACCACGGCTGCTGCAGACTTTCTAAAAGTAAACTAAGAGTTTAGTTTACTTTTCAGGTTATCACACACCGTAAGATTCCATAGTTATTAAACACTCCTTTTTTTTAAAGCATATTTGTAAAAAATAAATTTTTTTGTGAGAAATGGGTGAAGTGCATTTTATCAACGCTCCTAAGAATGGGTTAATGGTTAATTTTGACTGTTGGGATTTAAGGGAACACACACTCTTCAGAACATCTTCAGCTTACATTGAGAGAGCACAATTATCTCGTTTAACTCCAAAGTTGCACTTCCAGCGCCTGACCCAGCTCCCCAACAGTTTCCTTTTTTTTTTCAGTGTGATGGTCCTGATGTTAGGGTCCTGTTCTGTCGTCCTAAGTTTGTAGAAAGTGTAGTGTGAGAGCATCATTGGACGTTCTCACGCTATGTTAAGTGCACCTTGCAGGGACTGCCCTTTGAGGGAAAAAAGTCTATAACTGTATATGTACTATTGCTGAGTATTAGGTTTAACCCAGTGGTTTCCAATCCAGTCCTCGAGGCACGCCTACCAGTCCAGGATTTAAATCCTGGACTAGTAGGCGTGCCCTGAGGACTGGTTTGGAAGCAACTGGCTTAACCCCTGAAGGTAAGACAGCGCCCTGACACTCCTTCCCTTACCCACTTAATTGAGCTTAAATTATTATGGTAACATACAAAAGTTTATTTTATAAAGTTGCAAGCTTTAAAACCCTTGTTGAATTTAGGGCATCTTCTAATAAGAAAGCGGGGTTAATTTACTAAATATTAAATTGGACATTGATTTGCACAATTTAATCCTACATTACAGATTTGGAGATAATCGTTAGTCTTAAATTTGCAATTTTATTTTCGGTTTACCATAATTCAGTGTTTAGTGAATATACAAGGGTGTGCAAATGCAGCTTGTTTTGAACAGCCAGGCCATTCAGTAAAAATAACAAGCCATGCTTATATATTGTATGTTGGCACATTAATTCATTTGAATAATACAGTGTCATGTGCTGTGGGCCCCATGCCGGATGTTTGAATGACTTCTGAATTAAAAAAAAAAAAAAGTGGCTGGGTGAGATTCCTGGCACACATTACTTAGTGGAAGACTTCTTGATGTAAAAAAGAAATGGGGAGATGACGACAGGAGGGTGTCAAAACAAATGCTAGAAGCAAAGATATCTCACCCTTGAAGAAGATTGTGTGTTGCTATATCTGTCTGTCTTCATTGTTTACATATGTTTTCTAAATGGCAATGATATGCTCCACCAATACATCCAGTATTGTCTTGTTGCACCAGGAATATAGTTATGATACGCTAAATAAATCATCATAAACATGAGTGGTGATTTACACCCGAAAAGTGATTCACTAGATCAGATTTAGTGGACAATTTGAGAATGGAATTGTTGAAATATCTAATATTTTAAGATGGTTACTTCAAGGAACACTCCAAACCCCTAAAATACTTAAAGGGTTACTTACCCTTCTTCATCGATTCAGGTTTTTGTAAGTTAAAATGCTCTATCAGGCATTACTATTAGATCCCCATGATAAAATGCTGAGATTTTTTTAAATAAAATGTACCTGACACCCAGCGCCAGGCTATGCCCTCGGCGCTTACCTCCCTCCTCCATCTGACATCACAGGGGCCTCCATGGTCCAATCACAGGTTTTACTCTGGCCCGGCGAGGGGAGGGAGGGAAAGGTGGTGGAGAGGGGAGAACAATTTTTAATTTAAAAAAAAAAAATTAGAGATATAGGGAGGACATATTGAATGAAGGCTGTGAGGGAGTGGAGAATGAGCTTCCCCTTGCAAGCTCTCCTTGCAACCGTAGAAGGTAAGCATATCTTTCGGCAGCATTCAGTGTATGCTGACGACAGACTTTTATATTATGCACAGAATTGACAATAGGCAGCCTGGGTCAATGCTTTCCTATGGGGAACAAATCTGACACTAGGTGTCCTCATGCAAAGCATCAGATACTGGACTAAAGGTCCATTTCGATTCAGGAAGCTGTCTAGTGGGTGTCTTGTAGGCAGACTTAGTGCTGCAATGTAAACATTACAGTTTCTCTGGAACTGCAATCAGTGGTGTAATTTGGATTCATGCTGCCCTAGGCATGACGAAACTTGGTCACCCCCTAATCTAAATCTGCCCCACCCCTTCCTGTCAAGGCTGCACCTCTTCCTGTTTAAGACCAACCCGCACTTTGACTGACAGACACATACTGGCAGCACCTCTCGGTGACAGGCACACACTCTGAGATACACATACACTAACATAAACATACAGTCACTGATTTGACACACACCTCCTTGATACACTGACAGACACATACAATCACTCAGAAGCGCTCACTCAGACATACACTGACAGACACACACACCCATCACTAACAGATACACACTCGCTAACAGTCATACACTGGCAGACACACATTCATTGACAGACACATATATTCACTGGCAAACACGCACACTCACTAACAGACATAGACTGGCAGATACACACACTCACTAACATTGCCTCACACACTCACAAACTATCTTTTTTTGTTGTTGTTTTTGTTTTTTATTTTTTTTATTTTATTTAAATCCACCCAGCCTCCCTACCTTTGGGAGAGCTGGAGTGGCTTCCTTCCCTGGGGTCCAATGGGCTGCTGGGCTGGCTGCTGCTGTCTTCTGTGCTAGCTGACACCTGTTGGGCTGTCTGGCAACTGCTGGGCTCCTGTGCTGCAGAGTCAGTGGGCGGCTGTAATCTTCCTGCTCAGGTCCCTCATGTGCCGCTTAGTGATAGTGGGAGCCGGAGTGACGTCATATTCTGGCTCCGGCCTCACCGCTGGGGGCGAAAGTGAACTGAGCAGGAAGAGCTCAGAGGATGGCTCTACCATCCTCTGAGCCTGCATTGACCGCAATATTGGCAGCCGCGCGCCTCTGGGGGACCCCAAGATAAAGGCTGACAAGGTATCTGCCAGGGCACTTTTGGGGGTGGTGTTTTTTGCCACCCCCTCAAAGTGCTGTCCAAGGCAAATGCCTTGTCCGTCTCGCTGTAAATACAGACCTGACTGCAATGTTTAACATTCCAAAACTAAGTTCAAAAGGGACACCACAATTAGGTGAAGTGGTACGGGTGCCTACAGTGTCCCTTTAACTCTTCCTTTACAGGAAAGTATGTGTTTGTCTGTCTGTCTCTCTCAAATAGGGCCCAGGAGCCTCCTCTGCAAATAAATGTTAGTGTGTATGTTATAACTTCATAGTAACACAGATATAGTTTTAGGTGATACTGGCTTTCCATTATAAAATATTTTTTTTCGAGGTCTATGGATTTGAATATATATATATATATATATATATATATACACCGGAGTGTTCATTTTAATGGTGTGGTTACATAGACCTAAAATTTGTAATTCCCTTCTCAATTCTTACTAGTCATGGTTTTGTGAATAATGATAATTTAAAGGAACACTATAGTCACCTAAATTACTTTAGCTAAATAAAGCAGTTTTAGTGTATAGATCATTCCCCTGCAATTTCACTGCTCAATTCACTAAACTCCAAATTGTAGAAAATGTAAATCTAGGATACTATTTTATCCTAATCTTCCAGTCTTTTTTTTATTTTTATTTTTTTATTCGCTACTTCGGATGTAAGTCACATGAGAGAGTAGAGTTAGTGCTTTAAAGGAGCACTTTGAGGCTCCAAGGAATGAGTATAGAACAAGGTGAGTATGTGGAATAGAATGTAGGTGTGGCATGCTGTCTGATGGAAAATATCACAGTGGAAGTAGGATTGGAATTCCGCTTATTCAGAGAATTCAGGCTGGAAACACTGGGAGATGTTTTAATTTTTTTTGTATTATTTTTTTTCTGCTTGAGAAAAGTTTTACTAGTAATGTGTAAAGTGAATTGCCACTTCCCATGTTGTGTATTATGTTTAACAATATCTTCCTATATTTAACAATATGTCTTTGTGAGGCGTGAAAATGAAATCCTATTTATCCTCCATCTTGGCTCAGACATTGTTTCATGCTCTGTCCTTTTCTTAAAGTCAGCATGGAAAAAGCATACAGAGGAGAAATTACCAGTAGATAATGGGGGTTATGTATAAAGTGGTCTAAAGTACTAAAAATGGGTCTGTCACCAAGGAAACCAATGAAACAAGTAGGCACATTGCATTGGTGATCCTGCTTCTTTTCTATGTTTGCACCTCTTTTCACAACATAATCTCCAAAGTGGTTAGGGAGCTTTTTTAAGAAGTTTGAGATTTGTGAATATCTTCCTAATTAAGAAAGATATTCAAAAAACGCATACAGCATGCACTGAGAGGATCTCATTAAAGGGGAACGTTTACTGGCCAGGAGTTGTAATATTACTTTACTTCATCCCATCTGATGACTCTGGTCCGATTTAAATTCTTCTCATAATTAAATCCTACTCATAAAGAAGCATGATTGCATTTAAAGGTTTTTCTGACTGGTTTAATTTTTTTAGTCCATGGATCGACAAATTGATTTTGACCTAGAAGAGGGATGAACCTACCAGTGTCAACCAACTCAAGCATTGTGTTTGAATGCATTATATACAGTTGTGAGCCAAGGAAGATATGACTATCTAATATGTGTGGTTACACTGTATAGGAAATGTGTCTGTGTGTGGGGGGAGGGCGGGTACAATGTTTGTAATAATGTGTGAGGTAGGGGCTTTAACTTTGGTTAATGATGGGAGGGAAGCAATTTAAAATTTTAGAAGCAACTAAATGTTAACTAATTAAAGTGTATTCCCACTCACTTTTTATACCCTTTGCACCACAGGATTATTCAACCAGTGTTTTCAAATTATGTAACATGACAAGTTTGTTACGGTACTGGCATGTAATTTAGGACTGCTTATTTATAAGCCAGGAAAAATCCTAATAAGAACCATTGAATTCATGATTAATGCACCAATATATCAAGGCAACACTGCACTCCTCACGTGCAAAACCCGTACTCACTCCCACAACATGCATACATATATCACATGATGAAAATGTGCCATCCAGCAGGACAGGTTCAAATACAAGGGTCTGTCCCAAGATCCTGGGTTTGCTCTCTGGTGTCTCACATCTGAGGACACTAATGACCAAGTATATAGCGAGCACATGATTAGATGCAATTGCTTTGCACAAACTACAATAGGTATACTATTATAATAGTGATAAATTTATATATTTAAATAAGTGTTCTATTTAAAAGAACAAATTGGTATATGTAAAGGAACATTCTAAGCACAATATCACTACAGCCCAGTTAAGGTATCACAGTGTAATGAGTGATCTGGTGAAGTCCCACTGTAAGTATTACAGTTTGACAACTTACTTTGGTCTAGCTCAGGGGTCCTCAAACTTTTTAAAGAGAGGAGCCAGTTCACTGTCCCTTAGACACTGTTGGGGGCCGGACTATAGTTTGAAAATTTGAATGAATTCCTATATGTACTAAAACAGACACATAGACATATACAGACACATACTAACCTACATACAGACACAAACACGCATAAGGACATACAGACATACTGACATACATACATACTGACATACTGACATACATAGACAGACATGTACATACAGATACATATATACTGAAACACAAACATACATACTGACGGACATATACATACATACATACATACATACTGACATACAGACAGACACGTACTGACATACATACATACACTGACACACACATAGCTAATTTTTCTTACTTTTTTCTTTGCAGGAGGGTGGCTGTGGCCACCTGTCTCTCTCCCCTCCTGCGCAGAGGGAGCTGGGAGGAAGTGACCGGCCGTCACTTCCTCCCAGCACTACTTGCAGCTGCAATTTGTTAAAGAGGCCCAGTTGCGCTATTTCACGGCCGCAGCGCTGACTGGGCCCCTGAAGATATAGGGCCCATTGGGTGGCCCTAAATGCTTGGGCCGGGTTCAGGTCCCTGGCGGGCCGTAGTTTCAGGTCTTGCTGAATCCCTGCACTTGCAACTTCTTTGTCCAGTCTTCCACTCCAGGAGAATTGGCTGTGGGCATGGCCCTGCTTAGCTCTGTAGAGCTAACCTGATTTTTTTTTTTGAAGGGGAAAACCAGAAGCATGGCCTTTTTTCCCCCTCTCCACCAATTCCGTACAAGGTATGAGTCCTCAAGGCACACCTACCAGTCCAGGATTTAGGGATTACCCCGTTGTGTCAAGATGTTCTTCTCTAATTTTTTTTATTTTCAAAAAAATACTTTAGACACAACTGCGTTATTCCTAAATCCTGGACTGGTAGATGTGCCTTGAGGATTGGTTTGGAAACCACAGTTAGGGAAAGTATACATACTCAAAAATTAGTACACTGTAAAATAATGTATAGCCCTTTAAAATACATTGTTGGATGAGCTTGTGTTCACATTTGTTTAGGTTTACATATATTAAGAACCTGCTGGAGATCTGAGCCGGGACCATCTGAAGGGCAGACTACTTGGAGTTGTTTGTTTTCCGTATTCTCTTGCACCCTGTTGTTTTTTTGTTTGTTTTTTTTGCTCTTCCCAAATTTTTTAATTTTTAAGCCAGATCTTGACCCCTTGCTCACAGTCCCAAGAGGAGTATAAACTATACCTTACTGATGAGGCCTAAAAAGGTTGAAATGATTGACTGAGATTGCTGTATCTCTTGTGCAGAGAGGGACAGTTTGCATTTTGAATCTGGATCAACCTTATGGGTGGCATCAGTCTGATATGCAAATTGTCTGGTTCTCTTTGTAATGACACAAAATGAGCTAAAACCAGCTTGAAATCTGAGCGGGGACCCACAGAAGGGCAGGTTATTTGAGCTGTTGTACATTCTCAGTAGTTTCTAGCACCTTGTTATTTCTTTTTTTTTTTTTTTTTCCTACTTTTGTTTAAAAGGATACTGCAGGCACCCAGATCACTTCAGCGTATTGAAGTTGTCTGGGTGCAGTGTCCCTATTGCACTTAGTGCTGCAATGTTAAACATTGCAGTTACAGAGAAACTGCAATATTTACATTGTAGCAGTCAGCCTCTAGTGGCCGTCTAGAGGGCTTCCTGGATTGAAACGAAACTCACTGCATGAAGACATCCAGCGTCACATTTTGTTCCCATAGGAAAGCATTGATTCAATGCTGTTCTATCGGGAGGTCTAATGCAAGTGCTGCATTTGACACACATGCGCATTAGTGCCTGCTCGTCGCTAGACCATGGAGGGGACCACGCTTCAACCCTGCGCCGAGGGACATCGGTGCTGGGATCAGGTAAGTAGATAGAGTTTTTAACCCTTTATTTAACTGGGCGGAACGCAAGGGAGGGGCACGGCAGGGGGTGCAATACAACTTTCAATTTGTATCCATAGTTCTCTGATGCTGTTGGTCATATTTATTTCTTCTTACTGTTTTTTTTTTCTTTTCTTTTTTTTGGATGAATTGAAAAAAAAATGCTTAAAATGTGTGCTGGTGTCTGTAGTGTCATTTTAAAACTCTATTCTATTGCTTATTCATTTGCATTTATTTTGTTTTTCAGGCACATTTGATACCAGCATGGCATCAGCATGGGTAAGTACACATAGGTGGTGCTCAGAACTGAGAAGCCTACTTTGCATAATAAAGCAAGTGATTGATACCTGGGAACTGCATTGTTTCTCAACTACATGCTCTGTGGTTCTCAGGAAGCCTTCTTCACACACGTCTACAGTGCCAAGATCAGCCTTCAATGCTGTTACATTTTACAGTGTATAAGAAGAAGAATTGATTTTATCAGAGGAAGATCAAGCAGGTTGGGTTGTAAACGTGTATTTGTAAAAAGAACACATCAAGCACCATAACCACTACAGCCCTCAGTGGTAGTTATACATTTCCAGAAGTGCCCTGACACCCTCAGCAGCAACTGAGAGCTCTGAGCCAGTGATCGCATCTAAGCTGGGCATAGCTCAATGACAGGATGTTCTGTCAGTGAAGAGGTGGTGGCCTGGTAGGGTCTTAAATGGTCTAACTGTTTACACTCTGGGAAGGCTCTCCTGGTACCATAACCAGTACAGTGGACTGTAGTGGTTATTGTGCTTGTAATGTTTCTTTTAGCAAAACCGGATATGTGAGCCCACCAAAGCAGCTAGTGTAACTGTCATTTATTAGATGTCAAAACAACCTAATAAACAAGTATAAATGGCGTTCACAAATTCTTCTCCTTCAATAAATAGAAGTAAATTATTTTAAATAAATAATTATTTTAAAGTATATTAGCTCAAAATGTTTTAAATAATATAACCCAAATATAAAGTGCGCTGTGCCTTTAAAAACATGTGCTAGCAAATTCTTACGCGCTACAATCAATTTCAGCCAAAATAAAGTGCTTACGTAAAGTGTATAATATTCCAAATCTAAAAGTACTTACTTATTTTTGTGCAAAACCGCAAAATAATTGTGTAAAAGCCACTGTAGTCTAAAGAGGAGGAAATATTACTGAGGAGAAATATCAAGCGCAGATGGCCTGAGCAGTCTCTTACCTGCTCAATGTTTGTGAGTGCAAATGGCTCTGAACAAGTACTGTGAATGAAATATTGCATTTTAGATTTATGTAATTTATAGGACAGACAATGTAAACACAAGCACATTCCAAGTGTGTTCTAAGACCTTCTGGGAAGGAGGACTGTGTGGAAACTCTGAAGAATGCCTACGAGAGATTGAAGTTATTTCCTGAAATTGTTAACTGTACTTTGCAAAAACTGCTAATCATAGTGTTATCAACATCCCCCCCCCTTCCTAGTTATGAAATTAGTAGATTGATTGTATACTCTTTACTAATGACAAGTATTAAACCATTCTCAAATCTGTAACTTTCTTTCCTGTGCCCTATCTGTCTGGCTCTCATTTTGTTCGTCTTTTAAAAACCTATGCCTTATGGGAAGGAAATATATACCTCTCCAAATGCAGTTTGGAATATCCTCCTAGCAATAATTACCAGCTTTATATGACAAAATTAATGGTTAAGTAATGGTTCAGTACCACACAATGGTTCAACTAACGCGCATGTCATGTTAATTGGACCTATTCTCTATATCTTTCTCTTATACTAATTTTTTTTTTTCATTTTAAGGTTTATTGACACAGCTGTACTAAAAGGAGTATTTAAAACAACCTCTCAAACTTGTTGTACCAGATCATAAAGCACTATTTGTAATGGAGCTGGGAACAGCTCCACCTATTCATGCTGTGCATGTTACGTGTTCTATATAAAAGCTTATTGCAGATCTGTGTCTACTGAACTAAAAAGAAAAATAAACATTTAGATAAGAAAGCAATTTAACAGAAATCTTTCTTTGGTCAGCCACATATTAATAGAACTGTCACTTTACAGCCTCTTAAAGTTACAATACTGGGTTTTGTAACAGAAAGCAATGTATTCTCTCTCGTACTCCTACTAAAAGAACACTATAGCACTAAGAAGACAAGCATGCATTCCGACCACTAAAGTGTCCTGCCTAGTATACAAATCATTGCAGCTGTGTTAGTTTGAACAACATTGACAAGATGAACTGCACCACAGGGGGGAGCCAAAGCCTAATGCGTTTCTGACCCAAACATCCTTACTTTACTTTTATGACCTTTGGGTCAAAAACGTGTTAGGGTTTGGCTCCTCCCAGTGGTGCAGTTCCTCAACCGATGTTGTTCATACTAATAAAGCTGCAATCATTTGTATACTCTGCTGGAGCATGGTGTTTTTGTGTGAACCGTGCTAGTGTTTTCTTAGTCTAGAGAAGCATTGAGAGCCAAGTGTGGGTGCACAGAAAAATGCAGCACTGCACCATGTGTTACTTATAGATATCTATAATTTAAGAAAGAAATAATAAATTTAAAAAATATGATCAGATCAACAATATGGCAAAGTCATATTTTGTATGGCATCGTTTTTATATCCTGTTCCAAAGAACCAGGAAGTAAGAACAATGATAATGAATGTATTGTGGTCAGCGTGTTTCAGTGAGCAGGAAGTTAGGAATGCAATTAGTCATGGAAAATCTTTTTTGTGAATGTTGTAATCTGAGATTCCTGATCACTGTGCTAACTTGAGCCGAAAATCATTTTAATACCCTTTAGCCATCTTTCCTGGAACATAGTATAACAGCTAGTATAGACGTCTATGGGCAGGGTTCTATATACCTGTGTGTTTGGAATTGTGTGTTGTACGGTTTATAACCCATAGCTATGAGTATTCGCTCAACATTGCAAAGCACCCTGGATAAGGACACTTAACCAGAAAGAGAGAGAGAAAGAGATTTTAAGACAGTCAACATCAATAACAATTTAGAGTGAATATGTGGGGAAAAATAAAGGTCTGTAACATAAAAGATACGCAATGATGTGAAAAATAAATAAATCACTCAATGCATTAACCAGTGACATTCTGTAGTAAGCCAGCTTTACTTTTGTTACTGAATGCAGGTTGGCAGCAGAGGGACTGTAAAGGATTTTCCTGGCTTCAGCGCAGGGAAGGATGCAGATGCAATCCGGAAAGCAATCAAAGGACTTGGTAAGTATACCTGGGTGTAACCATACATAAACTGCTTGTTGGCAATTCAAAACCAAAAATGTTGTGCTAAGGGATCTCAGGTTAGTCGTGCTATAGCGGCTTTAAGTATGGGCCTAACCCAAGTTACAATTCAAATTTTGAACCTACTACCTCTAACAGGACTATTAGAGAAAAGGTCCAGCCAAAAAACTATATTTAATAAAATATAAGGTTCTATCAGTTAAGCACAGACAAGATAACAGTGTGGAAAGGAAAATCCTTACATAAAAGTAAAGGCTTAAAGGACCACTCTAGGCACCCAGACCACTTCAGCTTAATGAAGTGGTCTGGGTGCCTGGTCCAGCTAGGGTTAACCCATTTTTTAATAAACATAGCAGTTTCAGAGAAACTGCTATGTTTATAATGGGTTAAGCCTTCCCCCTATTCCTCTAGTGGCTGTCTCATTGACAGCCACTAGAGGCGCTTTGCTTCTCACTGTGATTTTCACAGTGAGCACGCCAGCGTCCATAGGAAAGCATTGTAAATGCTTTCCTATGAGACCGGCTGCGCGCGCATTCAGCCGGCGGGGCGGAGAAGAGGAAGATCGGAGGAGGAGAGCTCTCCGCCCAGTGCTGGAAAAAGGTAAGTTTTTACCCCTTTCCCCTTTCCAGAGCCGGGCGGGAGGGGGTCCCTGAGGGTGGGGGCACTATAGTGCCAGGAAAACGAGTATGTTTTCCTGGCACTATAGTGGTCCTTTAAGGAAAAATAAATGGTCTGAGAAAATGGTTGTTTACTATGCTGTCTATAAGGCTCCTCCTGTATTTGTTAAACCTTTATCACATGCAATGGTAAATCGAATGATATTCTCTCAAAAGGTGAATGATTTTTAAACAGTTACTACCACACTAGGTAAAGTATCTCTAGAGTAACACAAACGATGATACTAAAAAAGAGATATTACAGTCTGTCACAGAGAATAGTTGAAACCTTAACTACACACAGGAAAAAGAGACCTCAACATTCTTAAGGGTAATGTAGAATAAAATCATAACAAAAAACAAAGAAAAAGGTCTCCTTAATAACCATGATCCGAACTTGCATTTTACCATGTAGATGGGGTAAGACCTCTTTAAATTTTCTATATCAAACCATCTCTATTTATGACTCAATAATACAAACCTAATTTTTTTAGGAAGCTCGCCGCTTTGGACAATATGCTTGAAAGGAGAAGCTTCCATCCTCCCTCATTAAAAAAAGGCTGTCAATAGGTCAATAGCTAAGACTAAGAAGGGACTGTTCCTCATTGGGGCACTTTAGAGGTAAGGCCTCGCCAACTCCCAGTTATGTTCTAAATTCAAAGAATAGGGTTACTCCAGCTTGCGCCTAAGATGGGCATATAAGAGAGCTTGGGACATGCATAGAAACCTACTTCTGGAAGATAATAAAATGAAGAATGAACAGCCAAAACTCACCCGCTGTATTTCCAACTTTGATTCTGTTTGGGAGGAGGCCAAAGTGATCTGTGGGAGTTATTGGCCCCTTTTGAACATGATATAAATCTTAAGGAAGTAATTACTCCAGTCCCTTTGTATCTTTAACTGCAAGAACCTTAATGACAGGCTGGTTCCCAGCTAAACATTGGCTTACTGGTTCAATAGGTCACATGTAAATTACTATGTAAGGACTTGAAGATTTTAAAAGACAGTCAACATCGATAATTTAGAGTGAAAGAATTTTAATATTGCAGAACCGTAGGAGTGATCTATGCATATGTGAGCAAAACCTTTTGTCCGTTTAGAAGTAGTATTATGGAACGTTTCCACTCTAAAGTTGGCGCTGTGCTATAGCTCCAGAAAAGTCAAAGTGCACTTATTTACTTTTTCCTCCAAATATTTAATCTCCTGTATATTCTACTATTTTTTTTTTATATTCACCACAAAGGACATTCAAGTTGCTACATCCACTTCTCCTAGTATATATATATTTTTTTTGATGGGGACTTTATATCTCTTTATCTCTAGTACTTTTGTTTAGGGTAGTTGGTTCAAAATGTATTGGCAATTCATACACAAAACTTGATCCATATTTGCCTGTCTACAGTTCAATGTACATAATACTTGCCAAAAGCTGTGTGAGAAATGCAAATATGGCTTGAAAATCATTGGACAAAGTGAAATAGTGTAAACAGGTTAGTTTAAAAAAGCATCCAAAAATATTTATTTACTTTGAATTGCCTCTGAGCTATTTCATTTCATCTGTATCATTGTCGACTTCTTAAAACACACTCACCTCTCTCTCCACCTCTGATACAGAGGTTCTTACACTCACACCTTCAAACACTCACTTCCCTTTGTCTCCTCAAGATCACTGGCTGTACCATTGCACTACCTAAACATACCTCCTTTTTTTTTTTTTTTTGTGCCTCACAACCAATTTCTGAATTCTGCCATGTTTCATATTGCAAATATGTATGTTGTTTTAAAATGTGGACTGATATCAGCCGACTGCTAAAACTTTATTAAGTCATTCTTACTTATTATTTTTTTTTTTTTTTAAGTTTAAACTAATGGCATTAGATTTACAAGGTGTGTGTTCCAATTTTTCACTATGAATTCTCAGGAACAGATGAGGATTCGTTAATCGCCATTCTTACACAGAGGTCAAATGCACAGAGACAGCTCATAGCGAAGGAATATCAAGCTGCATGCGGGAAGGTATGCATGGAACCAGGTCTGAATTTTCAAATAGAAGTCCTTACGTACAGGCATGTAATGTGGAATTGCCAATCAATAGTGGCCAATCAAGTAAATAAAGCCTCTAATTATATGAGTGTTTTTTGTTTTGTTTGTTTTTTACTTTTCTTCTCCATTAATGGAGCAGTGGGACTAGGCAAGATGCAGTAAAGATTGTCATCAATAAATTAGATTTGCATATGGAATATAAAATGGTAAGTTAAAGCAGTTCTGTAACTTCTCAGTATTTCATGAATATATAATCTTTATAAAATACTCATGCTGACTGCATTGTAATTTCAATGACATCCCAGTAGAATCCAAAGGTACCATAAAGCAAAGTAGGGACCACTTTATCTTATGTTAAAGCCTAAAGTTGATAAAGGGCAGAGCTCCACCATCAACTTTTGCCCAATCCCAGCAGCTCTCACAAATGATGGTGTCTCTCTCTTTGCGAGACGTCCTCTATGATTTTATATATAGACCTCTCAAACATTGGCGAAAGTACAGCACTGAAGCTACTCCTGGCAAATGAAGCGTCAGGAGCCAAGAAGAAGATGGCGATGGCTGCAAGGGACATCTTTATGTACGTAAACCAACCTGCACCCCATGGTCACCTGACCAAAACTGTCACCTTTGAGAGACTTTGACAAATATAAAAGGCCCCCCAAAGTGACAGATCCGCTTTTACTTTAGAATTGTACTCTGCTACTTCTTATGTAGCGAAATACTCAACACATATATTCCTGTTACAGGTCCAAATTTAAGATTAATGTTTCCATGTAGCATTTGACAGCATTCTAGCTTCAAATTTTCAAGTTTTTTCTTTTGTTTATTTATTACAGTAGAGCACTTCAGGTTTATATAACACACATTGAATTTTTGCTGTGTATGTGAAAAAATTTGAAATAATAAAATGAAATGCAAACCTTATTAAAAAAAATGTGCTAGAGAATGTTCTCATAAGGCTACAAATACATGATGTGAGAGATCTTAGTGTGTCTGCTGCGTATTTGAAATTGTGCCTCTAGAGGTGGGCGGAGTCAGCAATATAAATGCAGCTTTTTCTCTGAAAAGGCATTGTTTACACTGCTGAGTCTGCATTGACAGACTTTATTCTCCCTGAACCCTCTACATTAAGCATTAATGGTTCTGGTGCCTATGGTGTCCATTTAATCTTTCTATCTGTCATTAAAAAAAAAAATAGTATTATTTAATATGTGTGGGTGCACTAAGTGAGAAACTGGAAAACCAAAAATGGCTTAGCTGTTAAGTGCTAAACTGGCTAACATAAGCTTGGTTCTGTAGAGTTTTATGGAATCAGTTTATAGTCCCCAGCAGTCAAGAACCAGAAAGGGGGGCAGGGGGTTGATCTCAATAGTGGTTTCCATATAGTCAAATAAGCATTTTATTAAAAAAATCTACCAAAATACTAAGTGCTATGAAAAACTTATAAAAGGTTTCAGATTTAATTTATCTAGTAAACTGTATTACTGATTTAAATGTACATTAATGATTGTAATGATTGTCTCCTTTTAGGACCTGAAGGATGACTTGAAAGGTGATCTGTCTGGTAATTTTGAACACCTCATGGTGTCACTCACTCTACCCCCAGCTTATTTTGATGCCAAACAGTTAAAGAAAGCCATGAAGGTAGGTTTCCAGTTTCTATATTATCCATAATTATGCAACTTTTACTGACTAAAATACATCTATCAGTTGTTGGGTTCAAGAGAGAAATAATCCAGACTAATAATGGATTTATATCCAGGTTTGCCATCATAACCCGTGGGGCCCTTATAAACTCATTGGCTGGGACCCTACCCACAGGCAAGTGCCCCCAGACACACACTTCTAGACACAAAGACATAATCACAAGCACACACAGATCTGCATTACAGAAACATTCTCGTGTGGATCAGGCTTCACCTGCAAGCTTTGCAACGAGGGTTGTTCCTCTCCTTCTAAGCTACTTCCTCGGGGAGTAAGTGACCTGACATTAATACCTCCCAGAATGGCCCTACAGAAGAAGAATGGAGGCAGTTTGTACCATCCACTAAGGGGCCCAGGCTTTTACAGACCACCTATGTGGTCCAGTCCCCACTCAGACTGCATAGCGTTACTGGGCCTCAGAACATGGCTGGGCATTTAATAGAGTACCAGCTGTATCCCCTCAAGTATCAAGCTTGAAACCTTAGCGATTTAAATTTCCTATTGGATTTTTGTGTGTGTATGTGTGTGTGTGTGTGTGTGTGTATGTATGTATATATATATGTGTGTGTGTATATATATATGTGTAAATATATATATATTTATAGAGAGAGAGAGAGAGATTATATAAACCAGGGGGCGGCACTCACCTGAACATGCATAAATGGGGTGCTGCTGGGGACCAATTTATACAATACACAAGATCCAGTGCACTCACTTATCCACTAAGCCTGCCACAACGTCAATGTACCCCATCTTTTTTACATACACACACACTCTAAAAAGCATCATGATAAACAATAGGAAAGAAGTATAGACGTGTTATACAAAGAAGAGAATATATTGGCCAATGGAACATTTTAATTGAAAGACATTACTGCTTGGCAAGTGAGTCCATCCTACATACCCAGGAGAACATCCTAATGTAATCTTATTATAGAATATGTTGTGTGTAAATAACTGGGTGTCTACACTTAATATTATATGCCCTACTATAGGTAGCTCTTGACACTCTTCATCTTTGAAGGAGTCTTCATCTTTAACCCCTTAAGGACACATGACGGAAATATTCCATCATGATTCCCTTTTATTTCAAAAGTTGTGTCCTTAAGGGGTTAAAGAGACACTCCAGTGCCAGGAAAACAAGTTTTCCTGGCACTGCAGGTCCCCTCTCCCTCCCACCACCCATCCCCGGTTGCTGAAGGGGTGAAAACCCCTTCCGTCACTTACCTGAGAACCCTCAGCGGTGGTTCCGTGTCGCCGCTGCTCCTCCCCTTCCTTACGTCAGCCGGTGGGCGAGACTGATCCCGCCGGCCGGCCGGCCGGGGAGACCTAATGCGCATGTGCGGCAATGCCATAGGAAAGCATTGAAAACCTGTGCTATAGGCACGGAAGTGCCCTCTAGTGGCTGTCTAGTAGACAGAATTAACCCTGCAAGGTAATTATTGCAGTTTATAAAAAAACCTGCAATAATTACACTTGCAGGGTTAAGGGTAGTGAGAGTTGGCACCCAGACCACTCCATTGGGCAGAAGTGGTCTGGGTGCCTGGAGTGTCCCTTTAAGGAATGCAATTAGGAAAATCAAGGCACCTATTTTAACTACTGAATGCGAATCTATGAAAATGTTTAGGGCCTGTCAAAATCTAAAATGCCATCAATGGACAAGTATTGCTTCCAAGGTATAAATAATAATATCCAGTCAAATTAAGGGAATACTTTAAATGTAACATATACAAACCTGATGGTGACGGTAAGATTTAACCAGAATACTAGACAGTGTGATAATTAACCATTAGATCCTAGCAAATTTAACTGTATAGGTTAACTAGAATACAGAGTACCACCCTACGGTCAGCAAATCAAATACGCAGCCAACCCTACCGTGAACTGAAATGATCAAATAGGTGTGCAAATGTCCTATTTTTCACTTCCTTCCTAGACCTTGTGTTATTTTTATATAAGCTTAATAAATTATCACAATCTGTTCTCAATATCTCCAAAACCTTTTCCAAATAATTTATCTAGAGAAATTACCATTAGGGATTTTTTGTACAAAACAAATTATTTTCCCAATATGCATAGCAGAATAATATAATAATTTGGCAAACTGTCTTTAATTTTCTTTTTCACCAGTCTATATGTAGTGTTTTTTTTTTCCTTCTTATTTTCAATTTGAAGATTGTAAATGTATAATTATTTAACAGAGATCACACAGTATGTCTCATTTGTATTAATTCTGTACTTAAGGGAACAGGAACCACCGAAAGCATATTAATAGAAATTCTAGCTTCAAGGACCAGTAAACAAATGAAGGATGTTGGAGATGCTTACTATACAGGTACACATTTTATATAGGGTGTGTTTTACAGCAACATATGCTCATTTATTTGTATAGTGAATGTGATTATATTGAATGTGATTATTACTTCCAATAGAGTAAACCTATCTTATGGGGAAAGGTGGAAGAAATTGATTACAAGTGATGTACAAAAAAATAAAATATCACACAGAGCCGTTTTCACAATAATCCTTTTATTGTTGCATTCAATGCAGCCTTCTGATTTATGATTATTGTGTGTGTGATAAACAAGGTACAGGTCTGTTAGAGTTAGCCGTGTTCACTCTGCGTAGTAGGAGCAATAGTCATGCGGAATAACACTGCTGAACAGCTGAGCGAGGACTTGGGGGACTAATGAAAAAATACAGGCAATCTGAATTAAATGTTGACACTTCATCCCCAGTCCAATCTAGTTATTGATCTTTAATGAGAATCATTTTTGAGTAATTCTTTCTTTGTGAAATTAGTCTAAAGAAAGCAAGCCTATGTATTGGAGGAGTAATGTGATCAGCAATATCTTTTGTCGTTCTGCAGTGTATGGAAAAAGCCTTGGGGATGAAATCAGTTCTGAGACCAGTGGTGACTTCAGGAAAGCCCTTCTATTTTTAGCCAATGTAAGTCAGAAATGTGGTGCCCTCCTAAATGTCTATGTATCTCACCCACAAAAAGGCTTCTTAAAGGTGCCACCTACACAATATTAAAAACCAAAATATAGAACTGTTTATTAGTGATGTCCCGAACGGTTTGCCGCGGACTCATCATTGAGTAAACTTTGACCCTGTACCCCACAGTCAGCAGACACATTCCAGACAATCAGCAGCAGACCCTCCCTCCCAGACCCTCCCACCTCCTGGACAGCTCACTAAGAATGCAGCTTCACAATGAATGTAAAATGGATGCTGTCCAGGAGGTGGGAGGGTCTGGGAGGGAGGGTCTGCTGCTGATTGGCTGGAATGTGTCTGCTGACTGTGAGGTACAGGGTCAAAGTTTACTCAATGATGAGTCCGCTGCGAACCGTTCGTGGCGAACCGTTCGGGACATCACTACTGTTTATTTAATGTATAGACCTCTTATAGAAAGGTTGTAAATGTGAACAGCAATAGTTTTTTTTACTGTCATATTGGAATACATTCATCAAGCCATCTACTCTTCATGCAATGCAGCTGTCTAATATAATGCTGCGCACAATCACATAAGTAGGAAGATGAAATTTTAAATGGAAACTCTATGCACCACAATCACTACATCAAAATATAGTGGTTATGGGTGCCAGGAGTCCCCAAAAGCATGCTGGTAATATAACTCTTTATGTAAGCTTTGATGTGTTGGTTGTCTAAGGTATATTACTTCCACACTTTCATACCTTGTTCCAACAGTATTCATTGGCTCAGAGTGTCAGCAAATCATTACTGTTTAAACCTGGTGTGACTGGAAGGACCATAGGCGCCTGACACAGCAGAGTAAATGGCTTTACTGGTTACCAGTGGGCACTGCTTAGGGACTCCTGGAAACACTACTGCAGAGTGGTCATGGTGCCTAGAGCCTGCATGTGCAGTGTATATATCAAGTTTTGTAATAGTAAATATGCGAGCAATTGCAAGGACCGGAAGGTGAGTGCACATGGTAACTGTGCAAACTAAGGCGTTACTGCTGTGTTAATGATTGAGACAGAGTGGGTATGCTTGTAAAGGGCAGAGAACGTGAGAGAGACAGTGCGTGTTTTTTTTTTTTTTTTTTTTAAGCATGCCACAAGCAAAAATGTGTATGCTGAGGCAGTCACTGGGCTTAAGGTAAATTCTAAATGTAGCAACTTCAATAGATATATCAAATCACATTTCTGGAGACCTACGTTTAGGCTTCCAGTCCTCAAGGCTACATCTAGTAGCAACCTGGCTGAAATGACAGTCACTGTCAAGTCTTGTCTCATACATCAGATGCAAACCAACTTATTCGCTTGGACTATATATGGGCCACCATGGTGTTTTCTTGCGTATAATAATAAATCTGGTCATAAACTAAAAACAGTAGGCGATGACCCTCAATCTTTGTAGGACAAATCTATGTATGTCTGTTCTATTTTCCTTTAGAATGAAGATTGAATTTTATTTATTAGGTATATATTTTCCTATAGGCACAGAATCTACTTAATTTTTACTTACTCATTACAAGTTTCATTATATTTGTATATTAGTCACACTATAAAAGTGTAATAAACCATAATTTCACAGCGTTTTTTTTTTTTTCCTTTGTTTTTTTTTTTTTACCTTGGCTTTTAAATACTGTGATTAAATGTTCCAACTGTAGATTGAGTCAAACCTTTTAGCATTGCTAACAAAAACACCATCAATCTACATATATTTAATCCATGAAAGAAATTATTCTCCATTCTTTTTCTGCAGTCCAGACGTGAGGAAACTTCCAAAGTGGATGAAAATCTTGCTAAAAAGGATGCTGAGGTATATTAAGTTACAAAGCACTGACATTTGAGAATGATCTATAAAGCTTGTTCCATTACTTAGCATAGTAATAACTTGCTATTACACTGCATTTTAAACAGTCTTATAAATCAAACTAATTGTATCTGTACAAGCCTATTGCTAAGGGAACACTGGTTAGAGCAGTATGGGCAGAGGGTGTGCATGCATGTCTATTCCATGGATAGATACAATGTGTGGCTGGTTAGAACAGTGGTAACATCACTTGGAAACGGAAAACCCAGGTTTGAATCCTGGCCAGCTCACATTATGTTGGCAAAATACCTTATGATAAGGTAGGCAGATTTATATCATTGAGTGTAAGCTTATTGGAGCATGGCCTTCTTCAGCTCATTAGCTGAAAGCATGATCTGATTGCTCTCAGCCAATCAGCTATTGTAAAACTATTTCACTATTTACACTGCGGAGGTCACCAGCAGTGTTGGCATTTGGGGCCCATCGAATAGCCCACGCATTTAGGGATACCTGATAGACAGGCCGATCTAATCAGGGGCCTCGTTGGATGATGTGGCCCTTTTTAGCAGTGCACTCTGGACCCTTCAATATCGGCAGCCAGTGCTGGGCGGAAGTAACTTCCTCCCAGTTAACAGACTTTGTGAGCTGGGAGGATAGAGGAGGCACAGAGAGGAGAGCAGGGTAAGCAGTGATGAAATACAAACAAAGGGAGTGGGTAGATGGTGTGTGGGGCAGAATTCCTCACACACAATGTGCAGACATGGGACCCACCACAGAACATAATACTATATGAGCAACAGCTGCAGACAACTTGAGGGTTATCTGATGGGTTTTTCATTGCTACTTGAGGCCAGTTTGGAGTAATAAATGAACATAAGCTGAATCATGATCCCTTACATACACTGAGAAAAAACTGGATATAAAACTAACCGTGCACTCACAGAGAATCACCGTCACACACAGAAACACATGCATACAAATAATACACGCAGATGCACTGACATGGCTTCTCTGACATTCCACAGAAACACATCCAGCTTCACTTACTTTGAACACATACGATCTCATCTGTGAGAATGTAGGTATTACTATATGTGTACATGAGATAATGTTGGTATGACTGTATGTATATATGGCTGGTGATTATGAATGTATGGAAGAGTGTAGTATGAACACTAGTCTGGTTATCTGTATTATGGGGTTTTTTAAATACAGTGTCCTCCACTAATATTGGCACCATTGGTAAATTTGGTGGTTAGTAAACCATTTTTTGTTGTTGATTTTGATATGTTTTGGATCATTGTCCTGCTGTAAGATCCAACCAAGGCCCATTCTAAGCTTTCTGGTAGAGGTACGCGGGTGTTCTTTTAATATCTGTTGATATTGGAGTCAGTGATGCCATGTATACTAACAAAATATCCAGGTCCTCTGGCAGAAAAACAGCCCCATACCATTAAAGAGCCACCACCATATTTAACCATGGGCAAGTGGTACTTTCCTATATGGCTAACACTCTGTGCGAGTCAAACCCACCTCTGGTGTTTATTGTGTTCTATGGTTTCATTTGATCATAGAATCAAATCTGAGGTTCCAGTAGTTTCTGGCAAACCGAAGATGCTTGAGTTTGTCTTGGATGAGAGTAGAGGCTTTTTTTTTTTTTTTTTTTACTTGAAACCCTTTCAAACAGCTTGTGGTGATGTAGGGCACTTCCCATTATAGGAAGCTCAACAGCCTTTTGCAGCACATCACAGCTATATTCCTTGGTCTTATCCATTGTGATGAATGACTGAGGGAATTTGGTCTGTGTGTTTCCTCATATTTATACCCCTGTAAAACAGGAAGTAATGGTTGGACAGGTCAAATCTCTCCCAGGCATCCATCCATACTGTTAGGGTGTGAGAAATAGTGAGGTGACAGTGGTGGAACAGCATAGCCATAGGAGCTAGCAGCTGATTGCCAAGTCAATATACACTGATTAACTTTAAGAAAAGATTGCTCCAAGTGCAACCATTGTTTGGTGGGAGTTATATTTGGCCAATCATAAATTCTATTCAAATAGATAGCTTAATAATAGTTGTAGATGTCTGGCAATCCTTTTCCTCACAAACCTTTTGCCGAACCAGCACAGAGTAGTTGATTATCAGTTTCTTATGTGCCCAGACAAATTTGGTCATCACTGTTCTAAGGAGGGTTAATAGGGGTAATGTTTGCAAAATATATAATAATCTGATGATTATTTATGCAGAAAAGAACATAGCTGAGGCCGTAAGATCCCCAGGTATTTAATCTTGGAGGATGCCCAATAAAAGGGGAATTTATCTTTCAATGGATTCTATAATTTTAGGAATACAAATTTTAGGAATACAAGATCCCCAGGTATTTAATCTTAGAGGATGCCCAATAAAAGGGGAATTTATCTTTCAGGGGATTCTATAATTTCAGGAATAGCCCTTAACTCTTTAGTACCCCCCCCACCAGTTCCAGCACCGATGCTCATCGGCACTCTGTGTTTTCTGATGTCATCCGATTGATGCAAGCATATTAGGTCCTCCCCATAGGAAAGCATTGCCTCAATGCTTTCCTATGAGGTTTTCACGAACGCTGGATGTCATCGCACAGAGTCTGAAAATGACACTGACACTCCAGGAAGTGCCTGTAGTGGCTGTCTGGTAGACAGTGACTAGAGAGAGTCTAAGTCCTGCAAAGTAATCATTGCAGTTTCTTAAACTGCAATGGTTTTCTTTGCAGGACTAAGGAGGACAAGGACCACTGCACTCAAACCACTTAAATGAGCTTCAGTGAAGATTGTCAGAGTATTTATATCGGCAGACATCTTGTGCTATGATAGAAACTAAAAGTGTATATTCTGAGTCACTCTGAACAGACCAGACTCCATTTTGTTATTTCAAGTTAACAAAAAGACACTAGATTTCTATCTGTAAGCTAACCACTTTCCCAGAGCTGAGGAATGCATAGTATATACAAGCCAAGTGATAAGGAAGGGGGTTGGACAGACTGTCTAATGCTAATGGAATATAATCAAATCTAAACCCAGACAATTGTGACAGAGAAGATTAAATAATTTAATATTTAACTGTCTATATATATAAGGTACCATTGTATGGAAAAGGGTAAACTTAGTTCATGATCTGTCATATCAGAAATTATGGCAGGAATTGCAGACGCTAAGTCTGGACAAAATTTAAGAAACCCTTTGAAATTTTAAATTATGGCACTATAAAGATAACGCAAAATGACGTCAAAATAGCCACCAGGAAAAGTTAACTCTTTCCTGGATAGGTATGTTTAGTGGGACAAGACTGCCCTCTATAGACTAAATACCTAAATTGCGATCTGGAAGATAACCACACCTCTAGTACTTCTATTGGGTTATCAACTGATGACGTACAGAGAGTCTGGCCCTTTAAAAGTTAAGACAAAGGGAAGACAGGGATGCAGATGCAAGAGATGCAAAGGAGAGGAGAGAGGAATTGGAAGTTTGGGGACTCCAACCTCCATGCAGAGAGACATCCAAATAAGTTCCTGAGACTATCTACCAATCGGATGAAATATCTACTCAACTGGTAATTATACTGGTTTCATTTAATTAATTAAATTAATTAAAATGTATTAATAGCATGATATATGACTGGATAAAGCACGGTCAGATTTCCATATTAAGAAATCTTAGTTAACTAAGAATATATAGTTATAAACATTCCATTCTGCAGGTGGAATTAAGAATAATTATATATTAATGTGATATTATCACATGTTAGCATACCGTTGTTTTTTATCCAGGTGTATTGATTTGCTCTAAATTAAGATAAGATATCTTTTAGACAAATTAAACTCTGCTTATATAAATATGGTAGATTCTCTTATTGGATGGTTCCAGGAAATGACTAATGAACTGGTTTAAATGTTATTTTATTTAAAATTACATAAGAATAGATCTTAACTACCTAGGAGATCTAGCCAGCATTGAAAGGGTTATTCTAACTGTCAGCTAAACTTTACGACCTTACGCTGCACTCTGAGGAATTCTGTTCTTCGCTGTGAAAAGTTTCACTTTAAGTCTGTGTTAAAGATAGTCATAAATAAAGTCTTGACAGAAAATGCTAGTTAGCCATTGAAACGTAATACCCATTCCTTTGTATTGCATACCATTTTATACTGAATATACATTGATTATTGTCATGCATGTTGCATAATATTATTATTAATTAATTTGTCATATAAATAAAATCTATTTTTATACATTGTGATATTATTATATGAAATACTTTCACTTACGATAACGACCTTTGGGATCTGAGAATTGAATTAGTGGGCAATTCTCAACTATTACTATTATTATCCCATAAATATCCCCACAAGATGAGGTATGTTGTATATTGAGGCTTAATATTTCACTTTTGTCTAAGTTGACTTAAAATTTAAAGATAGTACTATATCTAGCCAATTCCTCAAGTAAATATGGACAATACCTTCAGGATTGGTTATAGAGAACAATAAGTTATCTCCAGAGCTTCCTTCTCCTTCAATACCTCATGTCTTATGGTGAGATCTAATGACCTGGGGGCTGCAATACCAGGATGAACAAGCGTGGGGAGAGTAGACACCCCTGTCTTGTCCCGTTACTTATATGGATGGTGGAGGATAGATGGCCATGAACATTAACCTGGGCTGTGTGAGTAGAGTATGTGATTTATCCAGGACATCCAACTGGGGCCGAACTGCAATTGTCGCATGGTCTCAGTGAGTAGGAGGCAGCCCCCCTCTGCTTCAATTGATGAAAGTAGCATATAGACTTTTGAGTGTTTAGCCTTATGGAGAATATTAAAAATTTTTAGTATTATCTTAAGCCTCTGTGCATGAAATGAAGCCTGATTGTTCAGGATGTTTTAAGTCTCTGCGCCATCGTCTTAGTGAATAGCTTTAGGTCTATATTTATAGGGTAAATCGTCCAATAACTACTACAGTTGGTGGGATCTTTTCCCTCTTTTGGTATCAGAGATATGATTTCCAGGTGTGAAGCAGGGAGAGGTGTACCTGGTTTTATTAAATTAAGGGCCCTCAAGTGGGTTCACTAATTCTGATAAAAATACTTTATAATCAAAAACCATCAGGAGCTGGGATTTTTGAGCTAGCAGTTTTGAATATATATATATATATATATATATATATATATCAGGTGGCAAAAAAATGGGGTCCCATAGGTTTGGGATGCCATTCATATATCTCCAGGGGAGAGTCTTAGTCTAAATACACCCCAGTATATAAAAGGATATTGACTATATTGAATACCGATCAACTAATGTAACTTTGCTGGCAAAACAATAGCCAATGAAATTTGTGGACTGACATGCTATACTGGAGCTAATGTGTAATATGTCCCTGTCCTATTTTAGATTTTATATAATGCTGGAGAGAACAAATGGGGCACAGATGAAGACAAATTTATTGAAATTCTCTGTTTGAGAAGCCTACCCCAACTCAGACTAAGTATGGCACATAATATATCCAAGATTATTATTGCTTTTGTCTGATAGGATGCTGATAGGATGCTTATTATTGCTTTTATTTTATTAAAATTAAATGGATCTTTGAAATTAGACTGATTCCGTTCTTATTATTAAAAAGTCTTTAAAGCTAAGACACATTGACATTGAAGAGCTAAAGTGATATTGTAAAGAATAAAACATATAGCCCTGATATGTACCTGACTTTTTTCACGTTATCATTCAGTATAAAATAAATCCCATGATTAAGAAACTGAAAGCTCTGACATCTTTGAATCTAAAATACAAATCCAACAGTGAGTTTCACATTGTGGTCTTGACTTTATATTTTTTGGATATTCTTTTAAAATGATTTAATATTTTTGGATAAACATTTTAGTTTATTTTTTCACAATATCCATTTATATAAGTATTAAAAGTTCTTCAAAAAAGCTTATCCAAAAATATTAAATGATTGCCAGTTTTATATCGACTTATATGATATAAATTTTACTTTCCTGAATTATTTGAAAATATTATACATTTACCAAGAGATGCCCTGATAACAATATTTATAAAACTAAAACTAGCTCTGTGTAAGAACATGTTAGGTTTTCATTATATGAAGATTAATTGATTCCCGACTGTGTTATTTGTAGCAGTGTATTTGGCTGTTAAGTATAGTTGAGGATTATTGTCATTCTCTCATTGTTTTCTGTATACCTGGAACACTAGCTTGTATGATGATATGATTTGTGATATTAAGATGGCACCGTATGGGGCATTGTTTTCAAGGACAGCATTTGTCTGTCCAGTTACTTAAATGGACTGTATAAGCACCTTTAAATGAAGTGGTCTGGGTGCCATACCCCCCATTTTACCCCTACAGCTAAAACCTTGTCATTCTGCAGGAATGGCAATGTTTGCATTGCATGGTTAACCTGCCACTAGAGGCGCTACTGCAAAATAGTAGAGTAAAACTCCACTATTTAAATTGAATGGTCTCATTTATTTAAAGCTGCAAATCTACCCTTTTAATAGAAAACCGAGCATCCCATGGGATTTGGGTGGAGAATTAAGACAAGTTATAGGGGTTTCAATGTTTTTTTTGGGGGGGGGATAAGGAGGGTTTTAGTGGTGTAATAAAGTGATGGTTCCCCTTTAAATTGCATGTTTCAGTATTTTTATTCATCTGAGTTTATGCAATTTTTATCGTAAGTGAACTAATGAAGAATTTGAATTATTGTGGTCAAGCAAGCATAAATATAGTGGTTTGGGTGCAAGAAAAAAAAAAACAGATCTTCTAAAATACAAGCTTTCGTAAAAGTTTACATATTTAACTTTTTGTTTTGCTGTATAAACAGCTTTTGATGCATATATGAAAATTTGCAAAAAAAGCATTGAAGAAAGCATAGCCGGTGAAATATCTGGGCATCTAGAGGATTTGCTTCTGGCCATAGGTAAGTCATTAAAATATTTTTTTTGCTGGCATTTGAGTTGTGTTTTGAACTTGGGTGACAATGGAATTTACTACAGTGAACATCTGTTTTAATGGTACAGAAATTAACAAACGTTATAAATTGTGAAATCCCTGCAAATCAACTTTTATTCATTTAATAAGTGACACAAAAACAACCTCTGTCTAATTAATAAAAAAAAATTTAAAAAAATTAAATGGTGCTACGGTCAAGACATGGCACGGTCAGAATTTAGGTTATCCTGCCGATCACTAATTCGTGATCCTGTTAAAGAGGCTGCTTGTCCCTCCTAGCTGGGTAAAATTTCACATGGAGGTGTTCCCTCGTGTTTTGGTCTTAAATTTTCTAGAGATGTCTTTTCCAGAGCCACCCTCTTTCCTCTAATTTAATTTAAAAGACCACTATAGTGCCAGGAAAACAAACTTGTTTTCCTAGCACTATAGGGTCTTTAGGTCCCCCCCACCCTCAGGGTTCCACTGAGGAAGGGGTTAATCACTTACCTTTCTCCAGCGCCGAGCTCCCTCTGCGCTGGGGAAATCTCCTCCCTCTTCTGACGTCATCGCTGAATGCGCAGCAAGAGCCACGCACGCATTCAATCAGTCCATAGGAAAGCATTTCTCAGTGCTTTCCTATGGACGTCAGCATCTTCTCACTGTGATTTTCACAGTAAGAAGCGCGGAAGCGCCTCTAGCGGCTGTCAATGAGACAGCCACTACAGGCTGGATTAAACCTAACGTAAACATAGCAGTTTCTCTGAAACTGCTATGTTTACAGCTGCATGCAGTGGCGTACATACCGGGGTCGTGGCTGCAACCGGGCCCGGCCGCCATGTGACCCGGTATGTACCCACTGTGGCCAGCCTCTTCTCCTGGGGGGCCCAGGAGTTGACCACCTCAGGGCCCCCCAGGTTGGTCCTGGTGTCACCCGGCGGGCAGGCAGGCAGGCAGGCAGGCTGGCGCGCACCACACTGATACCGGAGCCGGAAGATGACGTCATCTTCCGGCTCTGGCATCAGTACGCGACACGCGAGGAAGCACTCAGGGGACAGTGCTCCCTTGCGCGTCCGCCAGCCAGCCTGCCCCGTGACACCACTGGACCCCAGGGAATCCCCTCAGCACTCCAAAACGTAAGGAGGCTGGGGAATTAAATAAAAAAAGTGTGTGTGTGTGTGTGTGTGTGTTAGTGTGCGCGCATTCAAACCGCCCATGGGAAAGCATTACTCAATGCTTTCCTATGGATGTTCAGTGTCTTAGAATCGCGGAAGCTCCTCTCGTGGCTGTCAATGAGACAGCCACTAGAGGCTGGATTAACCCTCGGTGAAAATTTCAGATTGAATTACATGATCCTATTACACCCTTTATTTTTGTACCACAATGTTTGCTTGTATGGAATAAAACAAATAAAAAATTTAAACATAAAAATATAAGTATATAAGTGCTTGTTGGAATGTGAAGCGAAAGATATCACAATGGATCTTTTATAACACATCCAAGATCCAGCAAACTCACTCATTCTCTAAACAGCAATTTCAAGGCTCACAGAATGTAACATTTTCTTTAGAAATACCTCACCTAGTCAGTGAGTGAGTGTATGATAACACATTGCATATGTCTGACACAATGTACACCGCCAATGTACCCCATTTTTTTCAGATCCTATCCTATCTACCAACACCTGCTCTTATGAGATTAACCAATTTATTTGGATTAGAGCATATCCTTGGGATCACTGCAGTACATGGTTAAATAGGGCCATAGAATGAAACACCTGTGACAGAGAGGGATTTAAATCTATATGTATGTTGCTGTGGATCCTTGGCTGTATAATAGTCCGTAGCCAGGTGCACAATTACCAGGGCTCCCAAATATCCAAAGTTTACAGAAAGGTGGCTGCACTCTCGGTCTTCAAATAAAATCCAAAACTTTATTATAATTCCCAAAAAATTTTTAAAAATGACATTTCAGTTCCACTGGTGGACTTTCTTCAGGATCAAAAAGCTTTTTTGATCCTAAAGAAAGTTCCCCAGAGGGGCTGAAATGTTGATTTAAAAAAAAAAAAAAAGAAAAAAAATTTGGGGGGGAATTTTAATAAAGTTTTGAATTTTATTTGAAGACAGAGAGTGCAGCCACTTTTCTATAAACTATATAGGAATTAAAGGAACTAAATATGACTATATAATATATATAAACTAAAGGAAAGAGAAGCACATAATATTTATAACAGAACAGTATATCCTTATAATAAATACACTATTGAACGTAATGTGACAATGTAGTCATGATTGAATGTAATAAAATGTGTCTGCACTGTCATTTCATGTTCAATGTATACAGATGTTTTTTTTTGTTTTTCTCACTCTTTAGCTATGGTCCATTAAGAAGGGTGATTGTTTTTTAGGTAGTTTGTGCTTTCACTTTTTTGGTTGTATTAACAGCTTTTTTTTGATAGGGAAAAAAAGAAAACGATGACTAAATAAGTGCAGTGTCCTGTGAGGTCAGGATTGTACTGTTAGTGTTTGTTAGCACGTCTATGCCCACACCATTCTATCCTGTTTCTTTATCAGTAAAAAGGACAACATTGAAATAATTATTTTTTATTACAGTGAAATGTGCAAGGAACACTTCTTCTTTTTTTGCTGAAAGGCTGTACAAATCTGTTAAGGTAATTTCTGCTAATTTTCTATATATGTTTATGGATTAATGAATCTGTATGATCATATTGAAAAGCTTTGTGAAACATTCCAAAATATGCTCCCCAATGAATTATCATGTTAGCAGATTTCTTAAGGACACACGTATGAAGCCTATTCTTAATGATGAACTTGTATAATATAAATAAGTATATTCCCGAAACAGAATATTATCCTAGGACAGAACAAGACTGTGTCCTAGTAGCACGTAACCACAACATACACTTTTATACAGAATCATCCAAACATAAATTATTTAGTGTCTCATGCTTGACAAACTGGAAACTATCCACCTGCAACTGCAATTTCAGAGGTACCGTTGACCTTCTGTATTGGTCTGTCCAGTTATTGCCCCCTTCTGGGATGATATGGCTTATTTATTTGTAGCAGCATGGTACAAAGATGCCCGCAATGCCATGACAGCATAGTCAAGCACATGTATGTCAGATGCAGCATAGTATAGGCATGGCAATTGAGAAATCAGAATTTTTTTTAAGACTGCCTTGTTTTTAAATTAAGAAAAAGTAAGGGCAACAAGCTGTCATGTGTGCATCAAATACAGGAAATTAACTGTCAAAAATAGAGCTTGACTAAGGAGACATAAATGACATCATCACAATGTCATACAGTCAGGTGGAGATTAAACAGTGTCACTTAATAGTCGCACAGTATTGAAAACATGCTTTGGTAGATAGGCCCGAAACCTCACCATCGCACGTAGATAGGCCCGAAAGTCTATACTGTCGCAATTTTAGTGCAACCAAGTCACTCCGTCACCAGTCAGGTTTTTGATTAGTCTTCAACTTTAAGAAATCCTTGACTGTCTGCTATTACAATAACAGTTTCAAGTCTACAAATATAACCTAGAATGTGACGGCAGATAAGAACCATTCGGCCCATCTAGTCTGCCCAAAAACAAAATCACTCATGCTAAAGCACACTCTTCTAAATAAAAATCAACAGCACCTGGAGATGCCGGGGATTGAACTCGGGGCCTCATACATGCAAAGCATGCGCTCTACCACTGAGCTACATCCCCATTACATTGCAACGACAGTGTCAGCATATAGGTGCACAATATTTAAAAGGTATGTTTGGATTAAAAGGAATAAACATAATAGCTGGGTTACCACTGATAGATAAACACAGTGTAAATTAAAAGAGGGAAGCAAAAAAAAAAAAAAAATCTGCGTATTATAATGGCTATTGCAGCAGTTTGTAGGATGAAATTCTTCATCCTATGCTGCACATGGGCCACTGCAGAATGTCCATATGCTCTGTAAATCGGTACGGTTGGGGTCTTGGTGGTTGTAAGGAGTGCTGCTCTTGGTGCCGTATTTTCCTACCACCTCCATCCCAGTCGTTGTTGGATCCAAAGCCATTAGTTCCTTGGTACCTTCTGCTCCACTGGATGTATCACTAGCCCTTTGGCACCTTGGGATATGAAGAGCCCCTCGAGTGTATGGATGGCATGGTGGATCCTGCTCCACAAAGGCCTTTGTCCCAGAGGAGGGGCACTCAGCTGGAACCGGTTCCAGTCTCATACTTCAAGCCTGCTTGGTTGTTTCAAGTGATTTACTGCTCAACCAAAGCCAGAACCTCTGACACGCCAGGTCAAACCTGGCCTCAATGCTCTCAACCCATATTTGAATCTTCTGGTTCGCTTGGTGCATGGGGAGCTGCGGCTCAGTGACTCTGCATACACGTCTAATTGTAGGTCACGAGAGTTAAAGGAAAGCAAAACATACAAGACGTGGTGGATAATCTGATAGGTAGAGTAGTAGTAAAATAACGGAGTGTCATGAGCGTTAACCATTGTTTCCATTTTCTTTTACACCCTCCTGCACTTACTATATTGTTATTCACACATATTGTTGGATGAGGATAGTAATGAACATAATAAGAAAAACTAAACTTAGGACAATGGGAATAACCTTATTAACAATGAGGTGGTTGTGGTGTGTTTTTTTTCTCACCGGGTTCAGCCAATTCCGATGGGTTGTAAGGTTGGTGTGGTGTTGAGAAAGTCTGGGTGAGTAGCTGCAGGGTTGTGCCTGCGTAGGTCTCTCTTCCAACTCCTGGTATTAGTGAGACCCTGCATACCAGATCCATGAACTTGGGTATTCAAAGGATCCAAATCTTTGTTTCCTCTGGAGCTAGTGGGGGCTCTAGATGGTAAAGACCGCTGTTGGCAGGTAATCTCCCACAATTGTGGTGGGTGTGATGAGGGCAGGTAATCTCCCACAATTGTGGTGGGTGTGATGAGGGCAGGTAATCTCCCACAATTGTGGTGGGTGTGATGAGGTGGCCTCTAGGCACTGGCGGGCAGGCGTCCGGTTGAACAGGAGCAGGTGTTGTGTGTTTGGCCTGGGGACACCTGTGCTGCTTCAGCAGGTTGCTTCCCATCTTGGCTACACTGTGTTCCGTCTTAGCAGCTTGTGTCCGGTCATGGAGTAGTGCCTAGAAGCTCCGGAATATATCATCAAGCTTTTGCAAGGTATGCTGTAAGGAGCCGCAGTGAGGTGTTCGAGGCTGTCCCAGTACTCCTTTTTTAGGTGACAGGGCAGTTGCCTTCTTGCGTGAACAGTGTGGTTGGAGTTCAGCTCTACCACGGTCAGAGGGCTAAGGTAAGTGCAGGGTATGCCAGTGGGGGCAGGGGACAGTATAGTTGTGAGGTCGGACCCGAGGTTTGGAACAAGTGGATCGGCCGCAGCAGAGGTGCCTGGGATTCTGTCAGGTTACAGGCTTGATTAAGGTATCGGGTTGTGCACCTGGGTTCAGATGGTGCCCTTGGGTGGGTTCTTTTGTCAATCAGGTTTTAACACCCCAAATTGGGCTCAGAATACAGGAGCTCAGAGTCCCCACGTCTGCTCTGCGCGGAAGCTAGGCTCCACCTTGCCTCAGATTGTATTTCATTCCTTATGTCATCTTTTATTTTCAGAAACTATTTCATGACTTGCAACAACTTTATTTGTATTTAAAAAATAAAATAAAAAAATAAGCCACTATTGTTTTACATAAGTAACTAACTATGGCCAAAAATGTGTGTTTCCATGGTTAATAACCCTTCTTGTGTGCTAGAACCATTAATTTGCTTAGTTTGGCTGCAATGCAGGTAACTCTAAGAAGATGGTCTTAACGTTTACTTTGCAGAAGACTGATGTGTAATAACTTTTTATTAATAGAATATGGAAATTTTCCTCAAAATAATGTTGTAGTTCTGTATAAAGAGTGCCATGTTGTGAAAAATGATCTAAACTACTAAAATTGGGGCAATTGTCATGGAAACCAGTGGTGCCATCAGACTAATTCCACTTTTTATGCATAATCCCACTGTCTGTCTTTCTTGTCCATGTAATGTAAACACCATAAATGCATAAGCAACGTTTATAACTCAAATTACAAAATTGTAAAAACAAACTAATTTTTAGCAAATATTAAAGTACTATACACACTAAGAATTTGTTCATGTAAATTGTAAAAAAAAATTAAATTCCATTGTAGGGTGCAGGAACAGATGAGTTTACGTTGACAAGAATAATGGTGTCTAGATCTGAAATGGATATGCTGGATATCCGTGCAGAGTTTAAGAAACTTGCTGGATACTCTCTGCATTCTGCGATCAAGGTAAGTTTTTAAAAGTAACAAGCTCCCCCCCAATAGATAAACTAATAAAGCGCCCAGGATGAGTTAAGTTGTGATATGCATACAAGTTCAGCAATTGCTCGTAAGAGAAATTAAATCCTATAGTGTAAAGAATGCAAACTTATATTCCTTACACTATAGAACTCTCCCCAGCTCAGAAATAGTTTTTAAAAAAAGCCTTTAACTAGATCTCAGATTCCAGCGCAGATGTCCCTTAGCATTGGGTCACAAGGCACGAGGACGTCCAGCGCCAGTTAGGTGACCAAAGGTCTGTTAGCCACCAGGATGTACTACTAGAGGCAGCCTTAGTCCTGCAATATAATTATTGCAGAATTAAGTGGGACTGGGAAAGCGCATCCACTTCAATGAGCTAAAGTAGTCTGGCTGACTATAGTTTCCCTTTCATGAATTGCAAATTTTAGGCCAGTTGTTTTTTTTTCTCCATTTAATTATTTTGCCCTTTAATGCACAATTCCTAACAATTGCCACTTCGTTTATTAACCCTGATTCCTTTACTACCTGCAAGTCTTCTGAATCTAAACTGTTTCCCTTTTACAGCCAACATTTTTTTCTTGTTTATGATCTTTTTGCCTGAATAATACCTATGGGTTTATTCACTGAAGTATGTATATAGACAGTGACACATTTTAGCTTGTCCCTTGGATAATTTTGTTGCTAAAATTGCTTTGATGTATTTTGACTTTCTCCTCATAGTCTGATACGGCTGGAGATTATGGAGAAGCACTACTGAAACTCTGTGGTGGGGACGACTAAATGAAAGAGAATAGAAGACTGACTGCAGCTATATGGAATTTTTTTACACAACATTTATATTGTGATTCTTGAACTAAAAATTCGCACTTGTAACTGCAGTAAAAAACATTTCACTATATAATGTAAGAAAATAAATTTGATATTTAACCTCGTTAAAACAATACTGAAACCAAATTATTGTATGAAGAAATGTATGCATGATACCATCTTTTAATTTTATATACATTGTAAACCAGTAATTAGAATGTTGTTTTTTGGCTGGCATCGTGCCAAACCGATGTCAAAATGCCATTTGCAGTCTGTTGCCAGGTGTAAGGTTCTCAGAGATCTAACATGCCATTCAGCCTGCCTAGTATCACAATTCAAGTGAGCCATTTATTAGCAGAGCAGTGCAATTTGCTGAAAGGGCAAAAAGAGAAATAAGAATATATAGGTCCATCATAAAAACAACAAACTTATATGAGGTGATACAGATCCCAATATAAATCAGGGATGCAGGTGAATGCTCCCTCTTACTCAACGCTCTATTACGAATTCTGTCAATGACATGTTTCATTGCAGTATTGGCACTTTAACATAAGTAAATTAGGTTTGGGTACTCAGACGCATGAATTTGTATATAAACTGTAACGCTGGGTAAAGATGCAGCAACCACGATCCATGACGCAAAGAATCACGTTATTTTGCAGACTGGTTTCAAGCAGCTTTCTACAGCACTAGATAGCCAGTTTCCAAATGAAACTAGTATTTAGCTAGTTCTAGGCATGCAGTTTGTACAAAGAAAATTCAAAATTAATCTGTAGAAGATTTACTGAACACAAAATGCATATAGTAGACAGCTGACAATGCTTACCATATAGATATTACATGTTTTATAATACAGGTTTAAAAAAAAAAAAAAAAAAAAATATAGTGCAGCATTTAATGAGCAGTGAAGTTAAAATAGTGAGATTGCACACTCGTCCTTGAACCTATTTGTTATTGGCTCAAATCCTATACACTTTTTTTTTTTTTAGGTAGCACCTAACCTCCTCTAAATATGAATTGGAAGAAAGTTATATACAAATATTAGGGACCGAGAGGAATACACTTTCGAAATTACACGCTTACATAAAACTTTATTAGAAATCAATCATTTTTTAGGGATGCCCCAATTTCAAACAAACTGGTAAATTATATTAAAGAAAAATGGAGAAGCACTTAAATTTGTTTTGTTGTTTAATGGCTGCATTACCTTTCTGGCAAGGCTTTGTTCATTACACAATGAACAAATGTTATTGTCGTCATCCAAAGTTGGACCCTAAAGACCACATGCAAGCATATATCCTGCTTATTTAGCTTTTATAGCTACATTTAGATTTTTAAATGCATATTCGAGGCAAGAGTTAATTCTACTCTTTACAGGATCTAGAATGAAAGGGGTTCATACTTAGTCTTCTAATTTTGGAGCTAAAACTACTGTGATGCTTTTTAGTCACACATTCTATTCCTTTTGTTCTCTTAAAGGAACGTTCCAGCTTTTGTGAATAAGAAGCATTGCCTTCCTGTTTGAAAGAGTACTCAGTTTAAATACAGAAGCACACCCTCTAGACAGCAGCTCAATTACTTAAAAGTAAGACAATGAGTTGTGTCTCAAAGCACCCCAGCATGCAAAAGTAGAGGTTACTTTAAGGGGAAGCAAGTTATCCGCCATTCCTCTGGCTATCCTTTTCGTTTTACAATGACCATGAGGCATATAGCTTTTAGATCATAAATATAGCCCAGTCACATTGTTTTTAATCCACAATCTTATCCTTACATTGGGCATAGCAGCACATCTTACAATAGCAGATCCATAAGTTTAGGGATTTAACCGCTTAGGACAATTAAAATACATCAATAAAGTAAAAATTTAGGAATAATTTAACATGTCATTTTGTCAATGGTTATGTATATGAGGGGTTTAATAGTAGCAGGGATAGAGAAATACAGCCTCTCCCCACTGCATATGTGTATTTCATTGATCATTTGGTACCAGTGGCTTGACAAAGACCATTGGTTACAAGAAACAATACTGGGTAAATTTGGGATTAAATTGAAATCTCATCTTTTAATGTTGCAGTTTTATCTTTTCTATTTTTTTTTTAAATTGTTATATGGGCTGTAGGTAGAGATTTGTAAACACTGATGTACGGGTAAATGCATGGAGTTAAATGTTGGTTTCCACACTGTCAGGGTTATTCTTCATCAAAGTGAGAATTTGAAAGTGAATTTCAAATTCAAGGTAAAAATTAGCTGAAGGCAAACTACTCTAAATCAGCTATGCTTCCAGTTTGGCTACTTTGATCTTACATTTGAAATTCACTTTGATTTACGACAATTTTCACTTTAGTAAATAACCCTGTCTTTATTTCTCTTTGGAGGTTTGTTTCGATACAAAGGACTTAAAACTGTATAATTGAAAACTTGCTGGAAGAGTTCATGCAGGGCCAAAAGAATTTGCCTTTGGCCTGCTTGGGTACTACACGATTACATTGCAGTATTTTGTTGACCAATTCTTCAAAAGCATTTTAAAAGGTTGATGTGCTGTGTGGTGGCAGCAATCCCCGCTCCTAGGTCTTATTTGTTTTCGGGCCAGCCAGCTCTGTCCTGATGCCATCTGAATAGGGGCCAGAGTGGCAGTAGGTCATTATGTGATTAACCTAGTTAACATTTGAATATTTATCCTAACTTAAATGTAAAACCAAACCTGAAGTGAGTGTAGCCGGGATCCTTTTAAGCATAGAATGTTCAACCTGTTAACATAAGTAATTGGGGGAGGGAGAGTAGAAGAGGGGGATATGAGCCATGGCCAGATAACTGTGTTGATACACACACAGATAACTAGAAATCTTCAAGTACAAAAGAATAAAAGATTACAAAACATTTAATTAAGGCAATAAAAGTAGTGTCTTGAACACAAATGTATGGGAAAAAATTACAAAACAAAAAACTTATGAAGACTAAAGAAATATTTAATTTGTAATACAAGTTCAACCTAGAAGCTTTCTATTGGTACCAACAGATCCTATAATTTAGAATTTGGCAACAAAATAAATGCATTTTTTTTAAAATTCAAAAGCATACATAAACATTTAAGTAGTTATAAATACAGTAGCTATTTATGTTGCCACTGTCATGTAGTCGTACCAAAAAAAATAAAGGGGGGGACAAAATTATACCGTCTTGAAATGTATATGTAATTTACTCCTAAAAAAAAGAATTCACAAGGAAGCTGGAAATATCTAGCCAAAATTGCCTAAAAAAATATTTTGTGAAGAAAGAACTTGGTACTTAGATATTCTCTTGCTTTGCTATTTTGACCACAGATTTGCAATTTCCCTGTCAATTCTAGTTTAGTGAATAAACACCATAATTATATAAATTAAAAATGAAAAAAAAATACAGTATTGATGGATAAAATTAAACACAAAACATTATTAAAAACAATGTAGTCAAGTAGAGAACAAGAGACAGAAAAAATTGCTCCTATGCAACAGAAAACAAAAAAAGGCCCCTGAGAAGATAAATGCAGGCAATTCTTTTTTTTCAATTTGGATAATTGTGCTACACATACATTAAAAAGGCACATCAATGCAGGCAGTGTTTTATTGAATGCTATGCCCTGCACTATATATAGTGACAGGGCAAAAGAAAAAAAAAATTCTCACAGACATGTCTTTCATGACCCAGCTTATTAACCAAAATAATATCACAATCAAACATAGCTTAAGGCCTTTGTTTCCTAATCCTTTCAGTGAAGAAAAGATTACGGTAAACTAGGAAAAGATTGCATAACACTTTAAAACCATTCATTTGTGTTTACCATAGACATGAACGCATAACCTTCAATACATAGCCTTGCAACCTTGAAACTTATATTTTGTTTAAACAGATAGCTATACAGAAATGTACAAGAGTGTCAATGTATCCTGAAACATGGAAATATACTTGGTAACATCGGATGACTTATGATTCCCCCTCCAAAGCAATCTTTATAGAGCACATTACAATTTACATAAAAATCATAAAAAGGACTAAACAAATCTACAAGATACTACCCACTTTACAAAGGGGTCTGTGACGCGTTTCACATACTTCATTCTTTCTGCAGACAACAGCAAAGAAGAAAAGTACAGTTAACTTCAAGTCTAGAAGACTGTGTGCAAGTTATCCCATTGCATTCATGCTACAATAAATTATGACACTTTCCAGTGCTTCATTAGCTCAAACCCCTTGCCATCTGAAGGGGCCTGCAATCCACTGCAAGGCAATGTGGCAGGTCCATCCAGCACCACTGGGTTTACAATGAACCAAATAATGGTTATGGATAGCCAACATAAATGTCTGAGTACCATGGAGAAGGGATAATCACTCGCTGTCTGTCTCAAACTCAGTGTCTGACCATTCCACAGGTTCAAGAAGATCTCTTCGTTGTGCATATTCAATAATTGCCATGTAACAAAAGTAATATTGATCCCATGTTTGAATACTAAATGCACGCTGAGATCTCATCCTCTTCACGGTCTGTTGTATGTCCACTGTTCCAATGTTTTCAAGTCTGGACAAGCAAATATCCAACGTGCAAAATGTACCTATTCAGGAAATGAAGAAATTGCACAGTTGAACTTGTACATGACATATCTATACAACACAGAGTAAAATATTACATCACCTCACAAGACACAAAGGAACGCTCTGGGCACCAACACAGCTTTAATGTGTTTGTTGCCATCTCCCGCATTTTAACCCTGCAGCTGAAAACACTGTCATTCTTTAGTAACAGCAATGGTTTCATTTTCAGGGCTAACCTTATTGACAGCCACTATGGGGCACTTGCACTAAGGGAGACCATTTAATTGGTGCGGCGTTTGCTGCACATGTGCACAAGCCTCCCAATGCTTTTCTATGGTAGAGACTGATGATAGCCAGTGTCAGAGGTTCCCTGAGTAGACTGTGCTGCGAGGGAGAAAAGGGGAATTACAGTTGCCTATTAACTCTAGCAGTGAGTGCTTTGTCATCTAAATGGTGACTAGGGCATTACAGCGTTAGGAATACATATTTGTATGCCTAACTCCATAGTGTTTCTTTAATTACTCGGTGAATGCTCAAGTATTTATTTAACGTGCAAACTTCGATAACACCCAACCAGTGACATAGTAAGGGTGTCATTAGCTGTCCAGTTTTTTTACCAGTCAAAATTTCATGTATGGGGCAGCTAAAGGTGATAACATTTCACTTTGTGGATGAATGCATTGCCATGGCAACCTTTTAACCTCTTCTGCCCAACATTAACATTTGTTTACTTATGCTGTATAATATATTTATCAGGTGTCAAACTGTCAAGCCATGTCTAATCTGTTACAGATTTAATATGAATATTAAATGAATGTACACATGGCAGGTGGAATGCAATATGAAAATTATACATAGACTTAAAAGCTAACTACTTTATTAAAACTCACAGTGCACACTACTGTATCTCCTAGATTAATGGGAGGAGAGGGGTAGGTAAAGTGCTCCAAAATAATAAGTAGGTGTGTAAGTATCTTGTGTTTGGGCTGTTAAAAGGGATGGAGTAGGGAATTACCTCACTTAGCATCTCATAATAAAATACGATGTCTGTCCACCACAGCACAGTAAGGTGTCTATGGAACAGTGATGGAGAACTGAGCAGGGAAATGCAGGTTAACAAGCGTATGAGGGGGATTTGAGATCTTTATTTCTACGGATTTCTTTACACTCCTTTAAGTTCTTTATTTTGAATCTCAACCGTATATAATGTCAAGTTCTTGCTTTCAGTATGAGTAGACATGCCCAGTGCACTCAAACATCTACGCTTTAGAAAGATGTAGATTTAAAGTTTACTAATTAATTATCCTTAATGGGTAATGTTCAAATTTATAGAAAACCATGATCATCAGACAAAGCACCACAAATATTTATATTTGGACAGAACTTTTTGCCTCCTCCTGATGCAGATACTTTGCTGTACATTTAAGCTTATTGAAAGGAACCATCTAATAGATAAGAAACAAGCATACATGTATTTTTTATTTACCTGTCCTCCCAATTCCTGCACTACAGTGAATCACAATTGGTGGGCCTGAAGGATGTCCTGTCCACTCAGGCCCTAAAGATTGCACAGCCATTGCCTGATGCTGCTTCACTTGGGCCCGGAAATCCAACATGGCAGATGCAGATTTTGGCACTCCAAAGTCAGGCCAACTCATGTACTGGTAATGAGCAACACTTCGGCTTTCATCTGTCTGCAGAAACAATAAATTAAAATACAGAAATGTGTCAAAAAAGGAGAATGGAGCAGAATACAAAAGGAAGTGATGGAAATGACTTAAAGCATAACAGTTTAGTGCTCTGTTTTTTAATCTTCCATTCAAGCCACTGCTATAGTGAAATGGAAGACACTATGTGCCTGGAAATCTAATGGAATTTTGATTTTTTTTAAATAATTTTTTATTAGTACCAGCACTATATAGAGATATCCTCAAAGAGGACTGCGTTTGGAAGTCAGCAAAGGATAATGTAAGCAATTTCAAAAACAGTAATTACAATCCCTCGCACACAGAGAAGTCCACCATACACTCCTGAGAGCTTTCAGTTCTTATTCTTTACCTGAACAATACGATTACAGATATCAAAGTAAAAGCAGATACTAAAGGAGATGGAAAATGAAGAAAGCCTGTGTAACAACTTGCTATTATTCATAATCTATCAACATGAGCATGGGCCTTTCATTGCAAGTCATTTTCTAAATACTCTAGTAAGAGATTTATTTTACATTTTCAATAACCAAATCTTATTAATTTGCATCATAAACAAACCGCAGGCAAGGAAACCAAGAATGTGTAAAATCAAAATGGGTGAGAGAGGTAAAGATTTTCACTTGCCTCTAGCTAGTGACAATTTATCCCTGGTGGGTAGTATTTAACTCAATTGGTGTGCTCTGGAGTAACTTAATGCCTTGCTAGTTGTGTAGATATTTTATTGGTGTGGATAGGTCATATCCTGTATATACCGGTATTTGTTAGATCTCTACATTCATTATTGCTTTTTTTAATTTAAATTTAATTTATTTTTTAAAAGTGTTTTTAATGGTTTACACTTTGATAGGATTTTGTGTGTACTTAATGTGTTAAGCGCTGCAGATTTGTTACTTTATTAATAAAGTGCCAACAAATTCTGCAGCACTGTACTTGCACTATTAGTTTGTTGTTAGAAACTGTCCACATCTTAATTCTCATAATTTATTGTGACCTAAAGGGAAAAGAATGTGGTGTTTTGTCAATGAAAAGACATTGTGTTTGGGAAGACTGTGCATTTTCAGTTGAATTTGGGGAAACCACTTGAAGCATTAGCTGTGCTATTTCATTGATTTGGTCATTGCATACAGCTGACAGTCTTTAAATCTTGGCTATAATCCTGATTTTCAATGGGGGTTGAATAATTTTGATTACAAAACGGTGTGTGTGTATAGATAAAATCTATACAAGTTTGCAAAAACTAAGCTTTTTGGTTTTTGCTTTATGGTGCTGCACACTTGAATTTAAAGCTTATATATCTGCTATACATTTAGCTGCATAGTACATAATAGAAATATCAGTGTTTACACTATAAAGTGCCACCACAACCATATGAACAATGCAATATGATGGACATAATTTACCTGTTTATTGTACAAGTCCAAGTGAGTAAGCTTAAAATCTTGGAAGAGATCTATATGAATGTTTCGAATAATGAAGTGCCCAGAGTCTTCACTTCTTCCAACTTCAAGTGGCCAATATTGCCCACATTTTATTCGACCTCTTTCTATTACCCTTTACAAAAACAGATAAAATATAAATGTATACATGATATAGGCACATGAAAATTCTTTACAGTCCAATGTTTTGTGATTTTCTTTTATTTAAAGCAAGGTCATACTTTCTTTTGTTCATGACTAACATCAGGAAGGATGGAAGCTCTCTGTCTCTCTCGCCAGCGTGCAGATGACAGATGTAATATTTAGACAAGACTGACATTAGGCAGCCTGAAACAGAGCTACTAGCCACTGGCACAAATCTCAGGATGTGTATCCTGTGAAGCATAAAAACGCTTTACATACAGAAACCTATGATCACTACCAAAAGTAGAAGTGGTCATGGTGGATAGACTAACCCTTCAATCTAGCCCTCCGTTAAGCCAGTCGAGATATTTATGGCATTAAAAGAAAAGTAAAATTCCTCCTTTTGACTTCATGAGTAGCTTGAAGGAAAGACGAGACAGGGGGGATATAATAGAAACATTTAAATACATAAAGGGAATCAACACAGTAAAGGAGGAGACTATATTTAAAAGAAAAAAAACTACCACAACAAGAGGACATAGTCTTAAATTAGAGGGGCAAAGGTTTAAAAATAATATCAGGAAGTATTACTTTACTGAGAGGGTAGTGGATGCATGGAATAGCCTTCCAGCTGAAGTGGAAGAGGTTAACACAGTGAAGGAGTTTAAGCATGCGTGGGATAGGCATAAGGCTATCCTAACTATAAGACAAGGCCAGGGATTAATGAAAGTATTTAGAAAATTGGGCAGACTAGATGGGCCAAATGGTTCTTATCTGCCGTCACATTCTATGTTTCTATGAGCCCTGGGACCACCCTGAAAAAGTGCAGATTACACTCTGCTAGAAGTAGGGTAGTTTATAATTCTATAAGTACTTTTATTGATGTCTATATTAAAACAACTCTCTTCCTTTGCCGTCCAACCTTAATCCAGCTTGGGCGTGTATTTGGACAGTGCCCGAGCAAATGTTGTAAATAGTGCAGTCTGGGAGATAACACTACATATACCATCTCAGAAAATTGATTATCCCAACAGCAACAGTATGGATGCTATCAACAGCCCGAGCAGCATCATAACCACTACAGAACAATGTGTAATGATGCTAGGTGTTTCCTGGACCCATTTCCTGGTAATGAGGCTAATCGATATGCAATGGTTTGCCCACTTATCTGGGACCTTGCCATGTGCCAAAGGTGTTTTATGGCTAGTGACGTGCCCCCTGCTGGCCATACACTGGATGAAAGTGTAAGATGACCATTCTAAATCAATGAATTCCACTCTGGTCTAACCACAATCCTTTTGGTACCCATCGATAATTCTATGCACAAACATGATAAAACTAATTGGAAACACAAAAATGATCAACTGCATATCTCCAACTGGAATTTAAGAATTTCTTCTTGGGCATAGAAACTTGAGAAATTAGGTTTCCATAACTTTCCTTATACACTGAATCTAAATAAAATACTGACACCTAATGGTAGGAATAGAGCAATCGTGGAGATAAAAAAATAAATAGATTTGTTTTTTAATATTAGTGTCCTATGTTAGAGGAGGCCTTTGGAACATAGGTTTGCATTGCTGAAGATGAGGGGACAATCAATTTGCACCAGATCCACTATAACAAACTGTGTTCTTTACAGTTTTATTGGTGCCAGGAAGGTCCTTTTGATTACCTGTTATTGATCTATCTGGTGAGGGTGATTGACAGATAATCTACATTTACCTTGTTGTCATTACAATTATTAAAACCCGCTGTTCCCACACCATTCTCCAGAAATCGTCAAACGTTTTTGGCAAGGGACCTGAAGAAGAAAGCAAGAAAATAATATGTTCCATCAGAGCAAGTTTAAAAAAAAAAAAATTAAATAAATTTTTTTTTAAAAATAAGACTAAATGCTCCCCCTTTCCACCATTTTTTTTTTGAGTTACCTGAAGATCATATAAGTATTTGATGGCTGGCAGACAAATTCATTTATTTTGGCCCTAATGAGAACAAGTAATTTGTGTGTCATTTGATCTCAAGAACCTTCTTTCTGAAACCACTCAAACAATGACAGAATCTTAGGGCCACCGATGTTTCCGCACCACATTTCAAACTAAGCTGCATTAGTAGTTTTATGTTACATAGGAGAGCTTTGCGATGTTTACGGCTAATTGCATAACAAATAGGGGCCATATGCAAAGAGATAAAAGGAGGACAGCCCTGATGATGCATAACGTGGTGCCGTAAGGTTGCACATTCTCTTCTTACACTACGCACATAACTATAGGTCAAGCAATCATACTATGTCTTCTTAGATTGTCACAGGGGCATAACTAGGAATATCAGGCCCCTGTGCAAGAATCATAGAAGGGCCCCCATTACACACTCACTGATGCACATACAGACACAATCATTGGCATACAAACCATTTAACACATTTTCAGTGACAAGCATACTCCCTGGCAGACACACTCACTGATTTGACACACTGAAAAACACACACAAATTTGACACACAATCAAAAAGTAGTTTTATAATTTATTTTTGTGTGTGTGTGTGTGTGTGTGTTAATACCCATCCAGCTGGTGTGGCTAGTCTCCCTGGAGTCTAGTGTGGCTGCTCCACAATGTTCCCTTGCGCACCGTTTTTTTTTTGTTTGTTTGTGCCGGAGTAAAATCATATCCCAGCTCCTGGCATCACCGCAGAGCGCACATGGGAGCTGTGAGAAGGAACAGCTCCCACACCGCCCATCTACAGCTCCCGCCACCCGACAATATATATCAGAGTATTCATCGGACTTTCGAATAAGCTAACGGTTTCCCCATGACAGGAGTAACACAGAGGGCCCAGTTGCACTCACGGCCTCTGCGATCCCTGTTCCGCCTCTGGCACAGACAGAAGATGCATCGGCAGGTGTGGACAGGGCTGCCGGGCCACTTGGAGTGACTGACCCAGTTGCAGCTGCGCCCACGGTAGTTCCGCCACTGGATTGTCACCTATGCGAGGAATCACTGTTTTTAGAAACATAAAAAACTAAACACTGTTTAGTAGATGTACCCCAATGAAAACATGCACACTTTTAAATATGCATTTTTTCCATCGGTGGTATATCTAAATCCTCTTTCCAAAGAAAATGGTCTCGTCTGAAGCCTTTACAACTCCTTCAGTTTCCTGTACCTGGCAGACTGACAGGAAGTGCTCAATGAGAGAGCACTTCCTGTTTGTCCAGGCAGTACAGGAAACTGAAGCTCCTGTAGCGTGGCCAAGCGCAGCGGACCACAGTACAAGAGAAACACTAAGGGACAGGTAAGGGAGGGGAGAGGTACACTAAAGGACAGGTAAGGGAGGGGAGAGGTACACTAAGGGACAGGTAAGGGAGGGGAAAGGTACACTAAGGGACAGGGAAGGGAGTGGAGAGGTACACTAAATATTCTTGAAAACAAAATCTGACTGGCATGTATATTTTGTACATTTACCACTTAATAAAAATAAAAAATATTAACCCCTTCGCGACCGAGGACGGTTCAGGACCGTCATCGGCATTTTTGCCTCGCCGACCAATGACGGTCCTGAACCGTCCTAACGGTCAGAGGTACTTACCTGATCGCCGTCGTTCCCCCGGCGGCGAGCAGCGTGGCTCCGGTTGTGGGGAGGCTGCCTGCAGCCCAGACAGTCTCCCCACACTGGATTAGGACCCCTGTGGCCATGTGATCGCTCAACACAGCGATCACATGGTCACAATAGGTGTCCATGTGTCTGCCTGCAGGGGGACTGCCTGTGCTGACAGGCAGTCTCCCTGCTAGTGTAAAATAAAAATAAAAAAGTTAGTGTTAAGAAAAAAAATAATAATAATTATATATGTGTATATATGATATATAGACATATATTATATCTATATAATATATGTCTATATATCATATATATAATGTCATACTAAGTGTATTTTTATATTAATATGTACTTATATTAATATAAAAATACACTTATAATTAAATTACACACGTATATATATAATAACTATATATATTGTATATATATTATAAAATATAAATAATAAGTAATTTAAATAAAAAAAATTTAAAATAATAAATTTAAAAAAATTATATATCTATATGAAATTTTATTCTAACTGTATTTTAAAATTAATATATATATATTTATATCAAAATACACTTAGAATGAATTTGTATATATATCTATGTATATATAAAAATAATAAGAAATATACATATGTCCATATACAAAATTACATAATTATATAAATATACACGTAGACTTCAAATATATAAATATGCATATATATTTAAATTCTACGTGCGTATTTATGTAATATTTTTACATAATTCAGTAATTTTATTGATTGCAATTTGAGGGACCTGCCTGCCAACCCAGGCCGAAATTCCAGAGAATTTAATTTGCTAGCACTGTATTTTACCCTGTAACGTTCTACGACACCCTAAAACCTGTACATGGGGGGTACTGTTTTACTCGGGAGACTTCGCTGAACACAAATATTAGTGATTCAAAACAGTAAAACATATCACAGCGATGATATTGTCAGTGAAATGACTTTTTTGGCATTTTTCACACACAAACAGCACTTTTACTGATGATATAATTGTTGTGATACGTTTTCCAGTTTTTAAACACTAATATTTGTGTTCAGCGATGTCTCCCGAGTAAAACAGTACCCCCCATGTACAGGTTTTATAGCATTTTTGAAAGTTACAAGGTCAAATATATGGGTCAAATATTTTTACATTGAAAATGGCCAGGTTGGTTACGTTGCCTTTGAGAGCGTATGGTAGCCCAGGAATGAGAATTACCCCCATGATGGCATACCATTTGCAAAAGAAGACAACCCAAGGTATTGCAAATGGGGTATGTCCAGTCTTTTTTAGTAACCACTTGGTCACAAACACTGGCCAAAATTAGCGTTCAATTTAGTTTTTTTACTTTTTTCACACACAAACAAATATGAATGCTTACTTTGGCCAGTGTTTTCGACTAAGTGGCTACTAAAAAAGACTGGACATGCCCCATATTGAATACCCTGGGTTGTCTACTTTAAAAAAAAATATGTACATGTGGGGTGTTATTTAGAGGTTTATGACAGATAATAGTATTACAATGTCACTATTGATAAATTTAAAAAATGTATGTTTTGAAACCACTATATCCTACTTGTACCTATAGCCCTATAACATGCAAAAAAAAAGCACATAAACACTGTGTATTTTTAAACTCAGGACAAAATTTTGAATCTATTTAGCAGTTTTTTTTCATTCGCTTTTGTAGATGAGTAAAAGATTTTTCAAGTAAAAGTAAAAAAACATGTATTTTTTTCAATTTTTCATCAGATTTTTTTAATTTTTTTTTAAATTAAAATACATGAGTTTATATAAATAATGGTATGTAAAGAAAGCCCCTTTTGTCCTGAAAAAAATATATATAATTTGTATGGGAACAGTAAATGAGAAAGCGGAAAATTACAGCCAAACACAAACACCACAAAAGTGTAAAAATATGCCTGGTCGCAAATGTACAACATCGCAAAAAAGGTCCAGTCCTTAAGGGGTTAAACATGTTCAGTGAACAGCAGATTTGTGTAGAAGTTGTTTCTTTTTTCAAAACGGTAAATGTGCAGAATATTGGTATGGGTAAATTATTGGCTATCGGCCTAAAAGTTCAGATTATCGTCTCTAAAAAATTTTTAATTTTTTTTTAAAGGCATGTACTGAAATAAGCGACCAGGAAGTAACATCACTAGTTGTCTGAAAGTCATGGATATGTAACCAGGTTCATTTATAAAAGTGCCAAATTTTTTTTTTTTTTAAATCTGCACTTTGCAAAATGAAAAAAATAGGACACATTCTTTACACATAAAGCACTTAAGCAAGGTGAAGTGCTTAAGGGGTGTGGAGTGTCCCTTTAAAGGGCATTTGTCATGTCCCCAACAACCTATGCTCATTAGATTGAGCATAAAATGCTATCTATACATAGTACTAGCAGCTTTACAAATAGCTTGTTCTCCCAGTTGTTGGTCAATGCACTCTGACAAGAGAAAGCAGAAATAGAAGCAGAGTGGCATGACGTCACTGTGGAGGTTTGGCATGCTGGTGGATGCATCCCCAAGCAGGGCAAATTAAAGAACAACAAATGTGGAACTGAGAAAGAGCGGGCATGGTTTCAGAGGTGGGAGTTAAATGACGAGTAACACCCATTAAGCTTGACTGTGGCAATGATGGAACACAGGAGAGGTGAGTAAATCTATATAATTTACATTAAATATATCATGTATCGTTGTGACATATAGTGTATTCAATGTATGGAGGAGTGATTTTAGGCAAGTTGATGATTTTTTTTTTTAGAATGCTTCCTAGCAGTGCACTGCTTAGTTTACATTTATTTGAGTGCTCTCAGCCAATAAAGTATCAAACCAATCTTAAATGGTTTGAATACTTTCACTGGAGAGGGTGCAACGGGCTGTAGTGAATATGGTGCTTGAGTGTTTGGAATAGACCATACAACTTACCTGTCTTCTTGCACTGAGACTACTCACTGTAGCCCAATGTCAGCCAACGCAATACATCTCTACAAAAAGCATGGAATACAATGCTTCTCACAGAGAAGCATACATTGTTTGCAAATCAACATACTTTGCATGCTGACATAGGACATCAAAAAGATTACATAATTGAACAGATTTGAATATATTTCTGTTGTAAGCCTCAAGTTATGCACCAAAATCACGTCATTAATAAAACATGAGTTTGGTATTTAGACTTCCCTTTTTTTTTGGTCAATCAAATTTTCAAAGTGGAGATGCTACAATACAGGCGATAACGCAGAACAAGTCATATATGTGAGTATTTTTCTGAAAAGACGACAAGAGAAACAAAGCGTACATTTTTCGACTTTCCCTTTAATAGTGTAATGTTATGATTACCCATGCATAATGCGGTTTTACACCTTACTGAGCCTACAGTTGTTCAGGGTTCCTTCTGATTACACAAACTCTGTATATGCATTATCTCTTTTGTACTGAAGTATTTAGACAACTTAATTCTTTGCTCTCCTGAAACTTTAAATAAAGAGATTTAAACGTTTATTGATATTATTTTACAGTTGGAAGTTAACATGCATGCAAAAATAAATACATTAATTTTTTATGAAGTCCATCTTTTATCATTTTTAATAATAAACTTTTCAGGCATTGAAGGGTAATTTTGATAATGTTGAGCTTTTTGGAATAATTTCCATGATGCTACAGGTTGGCTAAATTATGGGAAGCATAGTTCAAACATCTGCAGTACCAAAATATCCTCCACTCTACAGTTAAGGGAAAGGGGAGATTGTATCTTACCTTGTGTCGCAATATATGCATTTTTCCTTTTATAGCCATCCATGAAACTGGCATTAATATAGTCCGTTGTCTACAAGAATAAACATTCCAGCTGGTATTAACATATGTACGACTTTGTAGAGGTTATTTAAGACAATGCATGCAAGGTGTTTCTGGCATATATACTTATTATTTTGATTTTACTAAAATATCCAGTTTTCATCATGCAAATTTACAGCTAAAATATATATCGCCCATGAGCCTAGCCATACATAGCAATATCCTCTGAACAGACCGTATTACAGAAATCTGTTATCTGTTTGTGGATACACTCTTCAAGAACAGATTCTAGGAATGCAAGAACTTACTGTATTAAAGAATATTGAAGGTTTGACAAGCTGTGCCATTTATAATGAACGCTATAACAACTGTAGCTAATAATCATTTTCAGCTTATGAAAATGCCATAGGGTACTCATTTCACACATGGTTTCTCTATTTTGGCTTTATTTTTGTTAAATAAATCATGACACAGTGTAATAAGTCGTGTTTTTCATCTGAGGTTTTATTTACCTTATTTTACGATCTGCTAAGTAACCGATGAGTGTTCTTATGTCCTGATATATAAAACCATAGAATTCAAAGAGGGTGTACTTTCGTTTTGCAGTGAGAGAGTAAGTATACAAACACGTCTGAAATCTATATATATTTATATATGTGAATGTAAGTTTCATATACACAGGTATAGCATCCTGAAAATGTTGGTGCAACTTTAAAAATGAAGAGTTTTTATACTTGTATGATGCCCGTGAAGAGATTATTTTAAGATCACCATGATGTGAAACACAATAATATATATTTTTGTTTCCCCCAAATTTGTCCAATCAGTTCCTTTTCTGAAAATGTCAACAGCAAATGTGAACGTCGATGCCTTCCCAACACTGCCACTATTTATTACTTGTTTCCAAGAACAAAATGCATTAAAGGACCACTCTAGGCACCCAGACCACCTCAGGTTAATGAAGTGGTCTGGGTGCCAGTTCCCTCTAGGACTAACCCTTTTTTTAATAACCAGAGAAAATGCTATGTTTATAATAGGGTTAATCCAGCCTCTAAAGCCTCTAGTGGCTGTTTCCTATGAGACTGGCTGAATGCACGCGCAGCTCCTGACGCGCATGCGCATTCAGCCGAAAAGGAGGAGAGGAGGCGGAGAGGAGGAGAGCTCCCTGCCCGGCACTGGAAAAAAAAAAAAGGTAAGATTTAACCCTTTCCTTGCCATCCAGCCCGGCGGGAGGGGGACCCTGAGGGTGGGGACACCCTCAGGGCACTATAGTGCCAGGAAAACGAGTATGTTTTCCTAGCACTATAGTGGTCCTTTAACTATTAATATAGGACCATCTGGAAACAAGTGTATAAAATGATTTCTAATTAAAGATCCTAATAGAGAATGACTGATCAAAGCAAAAACACTCATTTTTTCCCAGAGAGTATTCTAGTTAAATGTATCTTATGATTATAGATATGTATAAAAAAAAAAAAAAAAAAAATAATGTGCACAATGGATGTTCTTTGTATTCACACACTGCTCAAGGCTTATCAACTCTATTATGATTTTTTTAATAAAATGTTTGAAACAATCCCTCCATGTCTGTCAGGGGTAGCTGGCAACTCCATAGACACCAACAACTGACTGCGCATGACGTTAGATAAACTGCAATAAGAGGCATTTAAATCCATCTGGTGGAAACATGGTGTTTACATTATGGAAACATGAGGTTTATCTGGTGGAACCATGGTGTTGTCTGTTATGAACAGGAGGAAAAACAAACAAACCAAAGGGTATCTATAGACAGACAGCAAACAAAACAATTAAGTGTGACAGCTACCCTCAGGATCCTAAGCTTATAAATCATAAAAGGAGAACCATAACCAATACAGCCTGCATTAGTAGTTATGGTATTAGGAGTGAATGGGCACCATTGGACGCCTTAACTGGGTCCCCATTGGGACCCAAGGCCACACATACCCTGCCTCTAAGGTTTTCCTGCAGGAGAATCTGGTTAGCGCTAATGAGCTAAGCAGTGCGGTGCTCATTGGTTAAGAGTGTCAGCTGAGCACAGTCTAAAAATGTCAAACTAATCTAAAATGGTTCTAAATTATACAGTACCAAGGCAATCCTGGCATCATAGCTACTACAGCAGATGGTGGCTATGGTACTTAGAGTGTTCCTTTAAGCTAGAAATGGATAAGAAAATTAAACACTCTCCTCAAAGGGGTAGAGCAATGAGCCTGCACGTTACCTGCAAATGTAGATACTACGTAATGCTCAGAGGACTGATTTTTTTTTTCACAATTATGTCTAAATGGAAAGAGATGGGTTCGCGTTTATATTTATTGTTGAGGCATGGTCAGTTCACCACGTTTTGAAGCTTTTAAAAGAGGCTCATTTAACTCAACTTTAATAACACATAGTGCTCCAGTACATGCTTTGCTCAATATAAATCTGAGTTTTCAAGGTAGTAAGCATTTTCATAGTCATTTCTTCAGGTATGTGGATTTATTATCCATAATAACAAGCCATTGATGTGCCACAGAACACAGTAGTGGTAAGTATCAAGGTTCTTAATTTATGTAATTTTAGCAGAAATTAATATACACACAGTCTTAATATACAAATGGATGATTTGTTTGGAAACATGTGTGACGGAACATTTCACATATATGCACACAGATCAAAAAAAACAGAACAAAACTCAACCTGAGAACAGCTGCTAAACAATCATTATTAGGAATAAGATCCTTCAAATTGCACATTTTGATTGTAATGTCAGACGCATCAGTGGATCCGCATACAGAAGGACCATATAATTTGCCAATAATCATGTTTCATGAATTAAACAACTCCCCACTAAGTGTGAGCCAGTATAATCCACTAATTAGTTGTATGGTGTAAGTCTCATTTTAGATCTGATACAGGTCATGAACGACCATTGATATTTAATAGTAGCAAGTTGAAAGAATGACTGCAGCAATAATAAATAGGATCAAAGGTTACAGGAACTGGGAACTCTTGGGACCGTAGCTTATACAATTATCTTAAGTGGTGATGGGGCTGTTAGTGTGCCTCTAATTTGTGCTGAATCAGTGACCACTAAGAATCTAAACTGCCTCAGATCACAATAGTGTATTTTTGAATTTGAGGTAATCTATACATTACTATAAGACATGAACACAAGTGGAACGTTTAAATTATTCTAATGCAAAAAGCTTAATGTGGCGGGTTGAGTTTTATTCAGTGTAAAAAACATGAACCATGTATGTTCTTAAAATCAGTGGTAATAAATTAATTATAGATCTTTCACTTACTTCATCTGTGCCAATAAGCCCCAGCTTGACTCTGGATTGATCCAAACACAGAACATCGCTATATCTATTTTTTGTTTGATTGCAAGGCTTTCTGTAGAAAGGAAACATACCTGTAAGAAATTGAGCAAGCTAGGGCAACTCTACGGTGTCTTTTGAAGGGAATACATTTTTTAATGTGGTTTAAAATCTGCAAACACAAAATATATCTATCACCAAGAAATTACACGGCAACTATTCCTTAGGTGCATTCTGTAGGCTTGATTATAGCTTTTGTAAGTTAAATTCCCCATTCAGTATAATACTTTTCACGATTAAATAAAAATTAGTTTTTGCTCAAAAACAGGGATTTTAATTAAGTAAGGAACTAAATATGTGTTTTGTTTTTTTTTAACATTTTTTAGCTATAATTTTGCACAACAGTCTTTTAATAAAAGAAAATGATATTTTATAATGTTTATTTTCAAAGGATTATAATAGAATGGCTATTTTAAAGCCATTTATCAAGGATTAGGTCTTTAATAAATAGTACTAAATCATAGAATCTGATAATTGCAAGGGAAAGTATATGATCGATATTCAATTCAAAAGGATTAAAGGCTTATTGGGAGCAGACAAACAGCTGATGCACGTGGTCAACTGATGTACAATCAAAGCCAAATTGTGATCATTTAAAAAAAGCTTATCGAAATGAATTATAGTCCAATGGTTATTCAGCATGAAGTAGGGGCTACTTAGTTAACATGAGGTTGAATTTTCATGCAATGTGTACATTTTGGTAAATTCATTAATTTAATCCAAGTTATAAGCTAGTGTCTGCAGGAGCGCAGGACAGTGTTTTACTCTTGCACATGTGTGAGCGCACAACACTGAGGCCTATGGAAGAACCCACAAGAATGCAGGATCTTTCATAGACAGAGCCTTTTTTCCTACAGATGTAACTAGTAGGGGGAAGTGAAAATACTTGACAAATGTGGCTCCACCATTTGTCAAGCGTAGGAAAAATAAGATAAATATATATTTTGACTATGCTGGACTTTCACTGAATTTTAGGTTTATGAATTGCTATAGTGCAAATCGATGTACTCATAATGAACACCTTTATTTAACTTGTTCTACAAGTATGAGCTTGTAACCTATTAAACTGAGACAGTTCAGCTTGCAATCATTTCATTATTATCTATACATTCCTAATGGTAAACAGAATAAGTTAAGACAAAAGTAATCGGAAAAGTCATAATCCTAAATAAGAAATCTTTTGCGATTATTAAAGATTATACCAATCAGCAAGAATACGTCTGTTTAAAAATCAGGATTTAAATCTAGTCTAACTGACCAGTGACCTAAATAATGATTTAAATCAAACCCTGGATATCACTCAGCTGCATTCCACTTTTGCATTAATAATTATATGTATATGAGACAGTTATTCTGGGTAGTGCCATCTAGATGGAAGCCAAAAGTAAAACCTATTTTTTTTGTGGTTTTATGGGATGCACTCCAAACTTACTTTGAAACATCAAAAGAGCCAACTGGTGGCTCTTTCCGAATTTCTTCATACTCTTGAAAAATCCCTCTCTTTTTCATGCGCTTGACGTGTTGCACCAAGCCAAGTACAGTCATCCCTCCTTCTTCTGGCATGTGTATAGAAGGCTCCATACCCACAGGCAATGGTCGAGATTTCTGGGGTAAAGGTGGGATGGAGGGATTGTCAGCAGGCTGCTTATACAATGGAGTGTCCGGAGGGGTCTCTGACTGAGGTGGCGGTCGACGGCAATTTGTGTTTGCACTAGAGCCTTTGTCACAGCACTCGTAGGTGCCGCTGACTGCAGAACCATTCCAGTGCACACAGCCACCTACTCTATGCGCCTCGGCATAACTTTTAGTCCTGTTTTCATGGTAATGATTATGTAGAAGTCTAGTGTTATCAGTCACATTCTGCTGGGTGCAGTTAGAATTAAGTCTATCACTCACAGGGTTTTGTTCTGTAGTGTATATAAGGAAAAGATGGTCCATGCAGTCTCCACTCTCTTGTCCTTGCCTGGAATTGACACATGCCTGGATCCAAGCAACATGGCTTATTTTCGATGTGCCTCCCAAATGTTCTGGCAAGGAATCCTTCGGGATGTGATTTATCAGTTCATGGGCTTTTAACGTGCGTACCTACACAGAAAAAGAGTAATGAAAAGCAGGTCTAGAATAATCAAACGTCTCATTCGTTATATGTCACTCGACAACTTATTAAGTTAAATTCCATTTGTTTTACTATTTCAGTATATACATGCTGCAAAGTGAATGCCCACAGTTGTGATTGGTGCAGTCGGGAGAAAAACAAATTGAAAGAAAATGTAACATTTACATTTGCTACTATGAATAATGTTTTATTTGAGAATTCAGATGTGGATTTATATTTCAGGATTAACAAGTCATATAGCAAACTTAACCCTGATATTAACACTTTTATATAAATTTCATTACGAAATACATTACCCTTTCACGTAACTTCTCTCTGACAAAGAGACGCAAAACAGCAAATGGAGCTCTGAACCAGAGTGGAGAAGAAACAATAAAGACGCACTTCAGCCGCGCTGGAAAAGCACCCTATTATATATACAGGGAAATAAAATATTAAGTCATAATAAGGTGTCTCAGTCATCAAGAAAAACGTCTTTGCAACATCACATACCACAACTAAACCTATATATGAACTGAGCCATACATTCAAAAGTTATCTATAGCTGGGTTGTACGAAAATTTAAATCGGCCTGAAATATATATATATATATAAAAAAAAAAAGTATTAAAGAAATGTTCAGAAACCAGAATATGGCACTCTGGCACTAATGCACCCACGACAACTTCAATGAGCTGAAATTGTTGAGGGGTTGGGAGTGTTTCTTTAAGCTAAACCATGATTAAAAAACATTCCAGCTGAACTATTTTAACCCATGTTTAGTAAGCTTGGTTTTTGTTTTTTTAATGCTCCACCTTTTGCTTGTTTTAAAGGGCACCATATGTGATAATTTTAATGGTTAAGTTTGTTTATGGAGCAAGTAGTCTGTGAGTGCATTGAAAGGTAATGCTTCACCACAAATTGGCGATTCCCCACTTCTAGATAAGACAGAACGTCTTAAAACAAAACAAAACAAAACAGGAAATGCAAACCATATTTAACTATGAAACTGTAGCAAATAATTTTAGAAAATCAACACCCTATATTGTGGATCGGGATAGGATACACAAAATTGGACATGTTTTACCATAACATTTAGATGCAGACAAAAAAAATAAAGACAAAAAGATGAGTATAACAGTATGAAGTGCTATTATAGTCTCCGATCAAGCTATACAAAGGTTGAGCAAATCATTAATTTAGAACAAGGACGAAATCTATATTTAAAAAATAAAATAAAGTTTATCTGCACCCACAGTCTTTGTATACAAAGTTATCTAGCAACCGGCAAAAAAATCAGTTTGACAGAGTGCAGAACAATAAGTTCCCCCCATTCTCTTTCCTAAGGTTTGTTGACATTGTAGCTGACTCAGGGGGTAAGGGAAGGGGGCAGCTTTTTTAAGTTAATACAATCTATTTAAAGGAGCACTACAATCAATATAACCACTACTGCCTGTTGTAGTGGTTATGGCACTGGGAATGCTCTGGTGCTGTCCCACAGTAACATGTCAAACCACTTTAGTTTGTTGACATTTCACCTGGGTTATGTCAGGCGCTTGCACCACATCCCCTGCATCCAGTGTTCTTTGGCAGGAGAAGCCAGATGTCTCTGTAAAGGTCAATGCAATATTTGGCTTTGCAATAGAACACTGGACGTCAAGTATGTAGCTGTGGGTGCGTGGCAGGACCCAAGTAATTTGTCAAACAATTATTTTTAATAGTTTGACAACTTGCCATAGGATGGCACCACAGCAACCTTGGCACCATAATCACTACAGAGGGCTTCTGTGGTTATGGTGCATGGAATATTCCTTTGATCTTTGAACTTGAAACAATAGCAAGAAACGGCTTGGTACACAGAAGGGATTAAAACTATTTGTGAGACTTACTTGATGGCAAAAGATTGTTAAATTTTGTGGTAATACAGAAGAGAAACTAAAGAAAACTTAAAATATCAATATAAGGACACAGACCTTTAAAAGGTTTAGGATCTTGACGCACAGCTCATAATCAAAATTTCCGTAAGTGGAATTTATCATGTCATAGATGAATATGAGTCCATTTCGTTGGGTCTCCACTCTAGTAGAAAAAAAAAAAAAAAAAATTATAAAGGCAAAGAATGAATATTACAAAGGTAACTACAAAAAAATAAAAAAAATAAAAATAAAATATATATATATATATATATATATATATATATATATATATATTTATATATATATATTTATTTTTCAGCAAACTAAAATTCAAAGCTGCCATATGTTTTATCATTGGTCAAGACGTTTTTCAGGGACACTTCACGCACCACAACTACTTACAAAGTTTACATAAATGAAGCTACACAGAGATCCTTGCTCCTGTTTACCTTCAATCTATTCATTTGAGCTACAGCAACTTAATGCTACATCCTCCCTGTGCAAAATTGTAGTGGTAGCATAGCTTGCCCCTTACCATACAAGCGCTTATATGGTGTACACACGATATCCGACTCTTACGCAACTTGTACATGCTCTTTCATTGCGCCCTTAAATGGGAGACTAAAGCAACTGTGATTGTTTATTCATGGTAAAGCATTAGTGTTTTTTGCAGCTGTATTAGTCTAGTAATGTATATTCAAAATAAAAGATAGTTAAAGTACCTTACAATAGCCATACTGAGGGGAATGGGGGGCATTTATAAATGTTTTACACTATAAAACAAGTTACACGTGAACTGATTAAGCAAGCAACTTAAAATTAATTGTTCCAAAATTCTGATGGCTCAAAAAATGGAATTACACATTATGAAAAAAGCCATTAAAGAAGATGCTATCAACTGGCAATGTACTTTCATTTATTTTTTGCATAAATAAAAACAACTTGTGACATAACCGCATAAAACTCTGCTGTTTAAAGATGCAGAGTGCTCCCATCTGACGGAAACAGAACTGAGAAATCTCACTAACGTCCTCATATCTGGAGACTTCAGGAATTAATAAATTTGCCTAAAAGATGAAAATCATTATGAATTTCTGATTACACAGTCACTAAAGTTTGAGTTATCTATATACAGACTGTAGTCGTATGACAGTGATGGAACTGACACATTTAAATGGTTTTCTTGCCATACCAGGCAAGCCTTAAAATACAGAAAAATAAAATGCCACATATTATATGTGCTTAACATAAAGAAAGGCAACAGAAAGAAAAAGGGGGGTTGGGGGGAGGGGGAAGGGAAGAAAAAAAGTAAAGGGAAGAAAGAAAGTTAAAAAAAAAAAAAAGGGGGACACAACAACTTTACTGCTCAAAACTCTGTACAGGATCAACGCTTTCGGTTCGTAATATCTTAGGTTATCTGTATAATGATTAAAATATTGTAATGACGCAACTATGTAATCTTATCCTGCTGTTCAATAAAAAAGATTTACAAAAAAAAACAAAAACAAAGAAAGGCCAAGTCAAAAAAGACATAAAAGGCAGAAACTGATCTACCCATTTACTGTATTAGATAGCATGCATTAAAATAAATAACTTCAGAATTTAGAACACTTGTTCCCGATTCTCATACTTCATTTTGTTTCTCTTTTGAATTATCCCATAAAATGCTGTACAGCAGAAATTTATAGGATACGTTTGCACAGCATTTCCGAACTGGACAGTCCTTGCGGGTGGAATCAATCATATGTAAATGGCATATGCTCTCTGAAAAGGCACCAAAATTTGTATATTCTCTGTTTTGCTTCAAGTCTAGTTTAGAGTCTCCTTAAGTTAAAATGATAATCTAGGTGATGACACCATGTTCACTGTTGCCTAGAGGGGAATCGGCTACAGCTAGCCGACAGCCTAAAGAAGGCCAAACTAATAACCCTGGTTTGCTTTAACTTGTGCAGATGGAATTTGCCATCATTTCATATGGGGACTGCCATTATGAGAGAAATCAGTCTATGTGAATAGTATAGGTTTTGGCACAAATTAGCAAAAAGAATTTTGAGACCCTAGCAGGGGATTATCAAAGGCCAGGTCTTCTCATATATTCTTAAAATTATACCTCTATGAATGTAACTACATTACAATCTGACAGCTAGCAGATGTACAGCTTCAGATTATACACTCCGCTCAGTAAACAGCTATGGGTTCTCATCTGAGTATTCAAATAAAAAGTGTCTGCTCAAGGGGATAGGTTTACAGATGCAGCCATTTTTTTTTTTTTTTTTTTTTTTTAAACTCATGCAATTCTTTGACACGTTGGGAAAGTGTGTACAGGACTTTTACATCATAACCTTTGTAATAATTCAATAGAGCAAAAGCAGTAGAAAAAATGATGTTTGTACAAGCAAGTAACTAAATTATCCCTGAAACCACATGTATAGTTTACATATACTATGAAAGCATCTCACTAATTGTTTTAAAAATTTTTTGGGAAAAAAATAAGAAAAAATATCACAGCAAAAATGCATGCATACAAAGACATGAAATTGCTTTATTTCAAATGAATATGGGTATAGCCAGATGTTAGCAGAGCAGTACATGCAAATATTTATTTTAATTCAGTTTTTAAGATTTTCAACAAATACAAAATACAGACAAAGCACATTTTGTTATTTAGCATGTAGACACAGAAGACAAAAGTGCATTGTACATATATCAAAGACATGCAATTCAGACAGGCATGCCAATGTGTTTGCCATGTAGACAACACACAGACAAACTGCTGTGAAACAGATGTAATCTTGTAGAAAAAAAAGTAAATTAGAAAATTAAAAAAAAAATCTAAAAATGGTCCCTTAGATATAAACCCTCTATTACACAGACTATTTCTTAAGTCTGCATTGTTTTACTATATATTCTATAAAAATAAATAAATAAATAAAAAAAAAAAAAACACTAATCTACTTTTATACTCTCTGGAGTTTCTGCCTCTGGAGTTGTCAGGCAGGACCCAGATATATACTTAATAAAATTCACATAATGATGTAAAATGAATGCTTAAATATACATGTAGAAATAAAAAATATATATGTTTTTAATTCTAAGTTTTTTTTTTTTTTTTTGGCTGAACATACACCATTTTGAATACCCTGGGTTGTCTGTGTTTGCAAATGGTATGCCATGATGGGGATAATTTTCATTACTTGACTGCCATACAGTCTCCATGGCAACTGAGCCTGCAAATCAATGTGGCAAATTTCAACATGTAAAAACGGAGATGGACAAGTCCTATATTTGACTCTGTAACTTTCCATAACACCGCAAAACATGGACATGGTGCGTGGTGTTGCATTCCTAAAACATCGCTGAACACAAATGTGTACTTTATTTCAGTAAAAGCTAACAGTATTATGACAGTTAAAATGCCATGCAGAACTTGGAAAATAACATTTCTTAATTTCTCATTTATTTCATTTTTTAAGATATTATTCATATCAAATTAGGTTTCATATATTAATATTTGATGTGAAATAAAAGCCCTATTTCTCCTGAACACAATGATGTATATAATAAGTGTGAGCGCACTCAATATGTAAGAGGGATATTATGGTTTAACAGACATATAGCGCAAATTCTGGGTGTTGCTTTGGTTCAGAACTTGGACAATTGCCTCCATCCTTAAGGGGTTAAATAAAGCATTTTATAAACATTACAGTAGCAGCCATGTCTGGCTTTATCATTTCTCCAAAGAGCAATTCAGTGCTTCCTTTTCCGATGGGAAGGAGAGAATGTAATTGATCGCTCAACATTTAAAGAGCATCAATAAATTACCTCTCAATGGCTTTATCCAGCTGATAGATAATAGCCTGCAGAACTGCCTTATGAGTAGTAACATCCGGTCGATGTAGTCTAGCAGTGAACAAAGCTAAAGCTGCTCCATTTGCATCCCTTCCAGGCTGTAATTATAAAGAAAAAGGAAAAACATTGCGATAAAACAGTTGTAAAGCTATTTTAGAGACCATTATTATAGAGGCAGGAAATGCAAACTTAAAGGGACACTCCAGACCCCTAAAGCACTTTGTGTGTGAAAAGTGTAACTTTTTTCCCCCATTTTACAAAAAGTGCAGATTTCAATAGAAAATGGCACTTTTATAAATTAACCTTGTTACACCCCCCTGGCTTTCAATTAGACAACTGGTCGTGTTACTTGCAGGTTTTATTAGCTCAGTGGAGCTAAACAAGTGTCAGCAATTGCCCAGAGTATCTGCATTCAAAGACCTCTCATTGATCTGCACTGAGAAGCCTGTGATTGGAAAGTCTGGGTGGGGTTAGAAAAGGAGAGCTTGCAAAGGCTGTAGATAAGAAATCTGCAGCTATTGCAAGTTGCTTTTAGATATACACCCAATGGAAAAAAAATGCATAATTGCATTTCATTTGGGGTTTACCTACAAAATAGTGATGTCTACATTTTTGTATTTTGGTATTGGAGTGTCCCTTGAAAGATTTTGATAGCCTGTCCCACAGAATGTAATATGTGCTAAGAAACAAAAGGATGGGGGAAAAAAATGGGTCCTAATAAACTATTGTAACTTGGTTTAGTGTAGTTCACTGCTACAGTCTGCTAACCATATTTTTACACATGGAGCAATTAACAGAAATTGTGAGGAAAGGTCAGTGTCTGCAAGCAGAGGGTGAAGACACTGAATGGCAGTGCTGCTCACTGTGCAGCACTGCCCCAGGAAGCACCGCTAGCAGCCATCAGAGGAGTGGCCAGTGGAGTTATCACTAGGCTGTAATGTAAACACTGCATTTACTCTGAAAAGACAGTGTTTACTGCAAAAAGTCTCAAGGGAATGATTCTACTCATCAGAACAAATACAATAAGCTGTAGTTGTTATGGTGACTCTAGTGTCACTTTAAAGAAATAATCATATTGCTTCTCTGAATTTAGAACTTGACCCCAGTTCTTAAAAAAATATTATGTAGATTGGTACTAGACTGAAAACATACTGAATACAGAGTTTATTACATTAGGGTGTGCTCCCAGAGAAAAATACCATTTATGTAAAAAAGTGAGATTGTCATTTTCCAAAGTATAACAAGCTAACCCAGACATACGAGTGTGCCCAAACAGACCTAAGCAAGAGTCATGGGGAGTACGGTGTGCACACCTATTAAAGGGACACTATAGGCAGCTAAACCACTTCAGCTCATTGAAGTGGTCTCGGTGCATATTCCCAGGTATCTTAACCCTGCAAAGGTAATCATTGCAATTTTTTAAGAAACTGCAACAATTAACTTTGTGGGTTAACTCGACCTCTAGTGGATGTCTACCAAACGGACACTAGAGGTTCTTCCGGGTTGTTGAGCAACATTTGGTCACCTGACGCTGGACATACTCACGCTATGCATGAGAACATCCAGCGTCACCCGAAATGCCACAGAAAACATTCTATAATGCTATCCTATGGGTGAACTACTAATGTGAGCGTAGCCATTGCTGTGCATGCACATTAGGTCTCCTCCGGCGGGGAAGGAGCGTAGGCAGGGATGGACAGGGCGGTGGCTACACTGGACAGAATAAGGAAAGTCCAGAAAAAAAAAACCTTCACTGCACTCCTGGTCACTGTACAGCAAGCACCAATGTCACTATAGGGGGTATTTGCAAAATATGCAGAGACTACAGAAAGTGACAGAGCTGCTTTCATATTTAATTTCCACTGCAAACCTCATTCAAATAAATACTACAGTATGTTTAATGGAGTGAGGAAAAGAGGAACTACCACTGAGAATAAGGTTAGAGTTCTTCTTTTGTAAGGACATTTCCACCTTTAAACATGTCATGGAAGAGTTTTTTTTGTGTCACTTACCAGAACTGTAAATTTACCACTCAGCAGCTCTGACCGCAACGGCTCTTCATCAGGATTTATGTTGTATATCCCTTCCTTTAGTCGTGTGTTCTGTTATATAAAAATACATAAATAAAAATATACCAATATGTCTTAAAAAAAATTAACCAGTAACTTGAACTGTTGAACTGCAGCGTACAAATCGACCTAAATCACCATTAAGCATTGCAATTTTGTGGATTGTTCATTAATGCAGAACTTTACTTGTCATCAGGATTGTATGTGTGTGGCAGTGTAAGTGCATAGGTTTATCTACCTGTGTGGAGTGCAAGTGTGTGAATGTATATACAACCTATTCCAATACCATTTTTACTTCTTCATTTTTCACAACCCTCCAATTGTTATCACTCATCATCTCCTCACAAGCCCATTCAAAAACCCCAAAGCCCTATCCATGTCACTTTCCTTTTTAATTTTCTTTCTACATTACAGAGGTTCTCTTTTGCTTGTTTATGCAGAGAGGGACCACATTTCTGGCAGACAGTGGCACAAGGCAGCCACAGGGAGCTGTGTTGAGAACTTGCGGTCAGCAGCAGCTCCTTATCCCCTTAAAGGACCACTCTAGGCACCCAGACCACTTCAGCTTAATGAAGTGGTCTGGGTGCCAGGTCCTTCTAGGGTTAACCCATTTTTTCATAATTATAGCAGTTTCAGAGAAACTGCTATAATTATGAATGGGTTAAGCCTTCCCCCTAATCCTCTAGTGGCTGTCCCATTGACAGCCACTAGAGGCGCTTGCGTGCTTCTCACTGTGATTTTCACAGTGAGAGCACGCAAGCGTCCATAGGAAAGCATTGTAAATGCTTTCCTATGCGACCGGCTGAATGCGCGCGCAGCTCTTGCCGCGCGTGCGCATTCAGCCGACGTGGAGGAACGGAGGCGGAGGAGGAGAGAGGAGGAGAGCTCTCCGCCCAGCGCTGGAAAAAGGTAAGTTTTAACCCCTTCCCCCCCAGAGCCGGGCGGGAGGGGGTCCCTGAGGGTGGGGGCACCCTCAGGGCACTATAGTGCCAGGAAAACGAGTATGTTTTCCTGGCACTATAGTGGTCCTTTAAGGACACATGACGGAAATATTCCGTCATGTTTCCCTTTTATTCCAGAAGTTGTGTCCTTAAGGGATTATTCAGTGCTAGCTGAAGTGGATGTGGATAGTTAGTTTTCAGAACTCTTTTGGCTTTACAACATTCAGCCACAGATGTTTTAACCGATCAGTGTGACATGGAATGAAAAATGCTCAAACTAGTGAATAAAAAGTTTACTAGACTTCATTTGGTTGCATGATAGTTTATTTTAAAAAGGATTTGAGAAGCTAGAAAAAGAATGCACTAAGAATGAGTGGATTTTGGGAAGATTTATCAGTGTTCTGTAATATTAGAATGGCACTCACCATGGGAACCAGTAGAAATGATCACATTCCATTAATGACTGCTCCCCTCAAATTTTTGTGATTGAGTGATGCCACGGTATTGCTTGCATGGGTTTCAATATTTTCTGTTAAGTGTATTGAAGTTGGTGAAGGGGGATTTCTGGTCACCATGATGCAATTCCTTTACAATTAATAGCTATTCCTATAGAGCTAGCTTGATGCCTACATTTAAAATCCTACTCTAACTTTTTTTTAGAAAAAAAAATACTCGTGTTGCTTTGGAATTTGATTTGATCTTTTAAACATACGATTAAAGCAAAATATGGCAGCAGGAACTTCAATTAGCTTCTGTTTGCTGTAACTAGCACTACAAAGCATCCCACAAGGCATACATGGGATATCTAGATCTAACTGACCTCTGGTTGCTTCAAATCTGGAAGTAAAAATGCAGCATCAGGGAAGAAAGGCTTCAGGTATGTGTATTTCCTTTACTTTTTTCAGACGTACCACCATACACTATGTAGCTCAAACCTAGCCACAGTTCCAATCATCAGATCTGATTAGCAGAGTTGCAGAATAAGCGAATTACAGCCATAATGCAGCTGCTGCATGTTTATTGACTGCAACCTCATTTATGTTAACAGGGCTGTGCACGGCATTTTACCACATGCATGCTGTTTGTGCTCTTTTCCAGAGACAGAAGGTCCACTGTGTGCAAAAGTTAACTGATCATGGTTACAAAATGCATTTGAGTAACAAGGATTGTTTTCTGGGAATCGTCTTGGCAGTAAATGCTGGGTAAAGGACTACAGGCTAATAGTATGTTATTATATCATGTCCGAATGGACGTCATTAGGAAGAGTCTCTAAAATGTATTACTATAATAGCCAAGATCTCAGACAGATTCTTGGCAGTCGATGCCTTTAATGTCGGACTTGTTATCTATATAGAACATCTTTAAAATCTTGTGATCAGTAAGTTATAGTCTCCGGAATGGGAAATGCACTTGGTACTAGAAGCAGGATTGTTCAAATAGCAGCAATGCATACTAGCAACACATGAACATTGCACTACAATAATCTCTAACCAATTTTCATACCATCACACAGCAATGTAGAACTAACAGAATAAGCGGCATTGAAAACCAGAAGTCCACTTCCAATTTACTACACACAGTATGGCTCCTTAACTGGTAACAACCATACAATCCACAAACACACACAAAATATGCCAGCCACATATAAAACTGTAGGAGCTTCAAGTAAACCTCCAGGAACTAGAACTAGGAAAAAATCTATTAGCAAGTCCAGAGCAAAAGATGGTAATTAAAAATTTACTGTTTCATTAAAACAGTAAGTCTCAATGACACAAAGCCAATATTGAGAAAGTAACCCCCAAAAAACTGGATGAATGAAATCACATACTGTACTTACCCTATATGCTTGAAATAAATCAATTGCTCTAGAAACATCAAACTTCCGAGCCATTAAAAATTTCACAGCGGTGTTTGGAGGCACTGAAACCAATTGTGGTTGTTCCCGGTTCTTCAGCTCAGTCAGAAATTCTTCAATTGCCTATTATAAAAAGAAATGTAATGCGTAATCTTTAACAGTATTTCTAAAAGAATAAATAAATATGCTGTTTTAAATTAGATTATTTCATAAAACTATACTTTAAGATAGTTGACTTTTGGTTCCTTACCCCAAAAGACTCAGACTTTTAGATAAGCTGATACAAACTTAGGTTGTCTATCTTTTTTTATTCTGGTTTTATTACAGGGGTCACAGAAGATAGCAGCAAAGGAGTAACAGATAGAAAGTGTAATTCCTTCTGAACTAAATGTGTCTAACAGGTAAATAAATGACACACATATAGATTCCTTATGACTAAATTAGTATTTAAACTCAATTGCATGTGACCTAAGCTTTAAGCGCCCAGCAGTAACAGAACTTGGGCTTCAAGCAGGTATATATAGGGGGAAATGCATTATTGTGATATTCTGAAAAATAGTGAAAAACCTCAAGAGTGAGTCAATCACTGTGGGAACCAGCATGTGCATTCCACAAGTGACTATTTCCCTTTGTCATCTTTGTACCACTTTGATATAACCACAATACATTAAAAGAAAATCATCGGTTGCTGCAAAGCCTTTGCTTCTCTGGTAAAATAAGAAAGTGGTTAGAAACCTACATTAGTATAATTTTCATAAAACCCAAACATATGTGAATATCCTTCAAGCACAATATAGCAACATCTAGGTCATGTGGCGGGGAGAATTAATTAGCATTACTCAAGCAAGTGAACGGAAAACACCAACAGCTTCCATTCACGTATTAGCCCTTTTTTTCCTAATATAAATATACAACAGTGCTGACTGTATCTTTCAAGCAAATGAGAAAAGATAAGAAAGCCAATGTACTTAATATGCAAGAGAAATCAGACACCCAAGTATGCTCACCAATACTTAGAAAGTGATCCCAGTCACTTCCCAGCTGAAGACCCAAGATAAAGTACTTGTTAAATCAATCCTATGACAGAATATTCAGTGTTCTTCTCTAGTATTAGCTTGCCAAACATTCCTGACCCTATAGTGTTAAAACCATAATTTAGCCTTCCTTCCTCCAATAACTACAGTAAAATCTTACTTGTATTCAAGGCTGCAGCCTCTGCCCCCGATCAGCCTGCGGTTATCATCAGAAGTTGGGGTCTGAGCCAATCACAATGCTTCCCCATGGGATTGGCTGAGACTGTCAAGGAGACAGAGCAGTGGCAAAGCCAGCACAAGTCAAACACAGCCATGGCCAATCATCATCTTTTCAGAGATGAATTGAATTAATGCATCTCGATGAGGAAAGTTCAGTGTCTGCATCCAGAGGAAGGAGACACTGAATGGCAGTACTGCACTGTGTGCCTCACTGCCCCAGGAAGAATCTCTAGTAGCCATCAGAGGAGTGGCCAGTGGAGTTATCACTAGGCTGTAATGTAAACACTGCATTTTCTCTGAAAAGACAGTGTTTACTGCAAAACTCCTGAAGGGAATAATTCTACTCACTGGAAGATATACAATGAGCTGTAGTTGTTCTGGTGACTATACTGTCCCTTTAAAGGGTTTTAGGAAAAGGGACATTGAGCCTGCTCCTTCATTCATTGTTAAACCACTTTTGAGAAGTTTAACACTGAATGATGGTCCCTAGCTGCCCACTGCCCGGTCCCCACTGAAAGTATGGCAATGGGGGATGTTACACACTTCCTTCTAGCCGTACAGATTAATACCTAGAATACGCACTGTGATAGGCTGAAAGTGATCAACTGACAGCCAACTGCTGCTCAAACTAATGCGTCCTCATTAGCCCAGGCAGTACAGAGGGGATGAGCTGCCGGGGTAAATGGCACAGTTCTGCAGTAACCTGCATTCGGTTATTTAATGCATCACTGCTCTCCATGGTGTTTCTATAGTGTTCCTTTAAAAAAAAAAAAAAAAAATCCTTTTAAAACAAGAATAAAATACCTAGTTGAAATAACAGCTGTCCTTTAAGACCCGAGAAGAATCAAAGCCTGGGAATGTGCAAGAAATATATATTTTTTTAATTATTGCATTATTTCAGAAATTGGTTACAAATCCACACAAGCTTCTCTAACCTGCAATGAGGAAATAAAGTTCAGTAGATAAGCCCATGTGATGTGTTGTGTTAACCCATGCTAGATTTAAGCTCTATATGGTTTTATAGGTGCAGCAGGTAAATAAGGAAAAATAGGTAGAGATACTACAACAAACATAACCCCTACAGCTCATTGCAGTAGTTATTTGTCAGGGCTGTGGAGTTTGAACACAAGTGTTTCTCCAACCCTGATTTTCATTTTTTAATTTTTGTGTGATTTTGTTGTCAGCACATTCAACTATGTAAAGAACAAAGTATTTCAGAAGAATATTTAATTCATTCAGATCTAAGATGTGTTATTTTAGTGTTCCTTTTTTTTTTTTTGAGCAGTGTAGATTCATAACTGGAGGCCAAATTCTACATAGCAACCAACACAATTTCATCAGTTCTTTACATACATTTGAGCTCAAGCAAGCATAACAGTAGGCCTAAAACATACAGTAATCTGTGCAACGCTGAGACAGCATCTTGTATTAGTCATTCAAACCTCAATTACTTACCCTTGCATTACTTGGTAAAATGCATGGCACATTTTAAGACGTAATTATTTTATTAAAGTTTAAGACACTGATTGCATTAAGTGTAAGGAAACACAATCAAGCCACAGTTTTACAATGTCATCTTTTTTTTTACAATGTCAGCCCTTTGAATGATGGCTCTAACCTACTTACACAAGAGTAAATCTAATGTGAAACACTGGAGAAAGAATTTTGTTTGCTTTATTTTCCTTTTCTGGAGATTTTCCAATGTGTGCCAAAATATTCCTCACTGCACATTTCCATTATTTTCAGATTACTTTAGTTTACAAATTTGTCACTTAATGTGTGTTAAAAAATAAAAACTACAAGTGTGCCTTTGTTATTTTTACAACACTGTCAGATTGGTGGATTTTCTGTAAATATGTACACGCATCCATGTTCTTTTCGGTTTACAGGACATTCCAGGCACCATAACTACTTCTGTGCAATAAAGTTATGATGCAAGGAAGGCCAGGGATATGTGTTATCTTAAATCAGTGATGGCTAACCTTGACACCATAAATGGTTTCTGGACTACATTTCCCACGATGCTCAGCTAGCTGAGCATCGTGGGAAATGTAGTCCAGAAACCATTTATGGTGTCAAGGTTAGCCATCACTGTCTTAAATGGACACTATAGTCACCAGAACAACTACAGCTTAATGTAGTTCTGGTGGGTATAGTTATTCCCTGCAAGCTTTTTTTGTAAACACGGTCTTCTGAGGGACATTACAGCCTAGGGACTCATCCAGTGGCCACTCCTTATATGACTACTAGAGGTGCTTCCTGGGGCAGTGCTGAACTTACATTCAGTGTCTCCACCCTCTGCATTGAGACACTGACCTTTACTCATAGAGATGCACTGATTCAATGCATCTCTATGATGAGATGCTGATTGGGCAGGACAGCATTTGCCTCTGCCCCTGGCCCATCTCCTTGGCTGAGATCATCAGAATTGACAAACTTAGCCAATTCAGTGGTTTCCTATGGGAAAGCATTGTGATTGGCTGAGATCATAACTTCTGATGATGTCAGCCAAGGAGGCAGATCAGAGGCAGAGCAAGCACCAGCAAACTGGAAAAAGGGTACGATTTTACAATATTTAGGGGGGTAAGGTGGGGAGGGCAGAAAGTGTTTTTAGCACTATAGCGTCAGGAATACATGTTTGTTTTCCTGACCATGTAGTGTTCCTCAAAGGCAGGCTTCCTCAAACACGGGCCCTCCAGATGAATGGAATAGATAGGCTGAGAATCATGAGTTGTAGTTCAGCAACATCTGGAGGGCCAGAGTTTGGGGAAGCCTGCTCTAAGGGGTTAAATAACTAATGAATGTGACAAGCTCTGGAAGACTGTTTTCCTCCACTTTTGCTGAAGGGCCAAGGCTTCATAGACAGAGCTTCAGCTAATATTCTCTCTCTATTCTATTTCTTTTTCTGATGTTTAAATAAACTTTTTTTTTTTTTTTTTAAAGATCAATTTAAAGACAGATATTGGTTCCCTCACAGTGGTGACAATGAAAGCACAACCCTTAGCTATTTGTGTGTAAATATTTAAATAGTTCTCCTTTAAACAATGTGTATTTAAATTTTTTATTTGACAATTGAAACAGCACTTACAAACCATTTGAATGGATCTCATACTAAGCAGTGAAATGACAGTAGATACATGTTCACATATAAATGAAAGAGAACGCTTTAACAAGGGCCCAAAAGGTGTTTAGAAGCTTTTGAAACAACCACAGACTGGAGTGTTTGAGGAAATCAAAATGAAAAGTAGACATTTTTTGCAACCATGCAATTGTGAAGTGTGCTAATAAAGTAAATAAGAGTAAGTTGCAGAGCTTAAAGGAGCATTTGCAGAAGTGCGTCCTGTTTGTAAAGTATAAAAGCGCTGAGTTCAAGAAAAATCAGCACTTTTATAAAGTGTCATGGTTGCACCCTTCCAGTTGTCAGACTGCTGGTAGGTTGCTCTTCCTGACTGCATGTTCCCCAGTAAAAAGTGGAAGGCTATATTTCTCACAGAGAAGCACTGGATTCAATATTCTCTGTGAGAAGCATTGTACAGCTGGGTGATTGCTGCACATACACCCGGAATTCCAATTCCTCTCTAGTGATCTCTCAGCAGTGGACCATCTAACCACTGGATTACAGATAAATTAATCCTTATTTATAGGACAGGGGTGAAAGAGGAACCAGTAGACTCCCCAACACTCCAGTGCTAAAAATAAATGCATTTGTTTATAATGCCAGAGTGATCCTTTAAGAGGCATTCATATTTAGACTTCCATGCATAATCTACTGTACTACTAAAAATATTTAGACTTGCGAAAAAATATCCTGGCCTCTGACTCGTCAAACCAAAAAGTAGACTTTTTTACTGGATTACTAAAGAGAACGTTCAAAGCTCCATTGCTGTAGATTTTCTTACTGATCAAGGCCCAAATGCATCTTCTTTCTTTTTGCAAGTATGAAAGACTATTATGTCCTTGGGTGCATTACACATTTGATTTATTTATTGTTGTTACTACTGCAACTATGCAGATAAAATATCTACAGATATTACTCCAAATTTTTTTTTTTATATTTTAAATAAGTACACTTATTGTATTTTAGGTGAAAGTATGAAGAGAACACTCCATATGCAAATGGTTACAAATTGGCCTTCCAAGAATAGATGCCGCTATAACAGCAAAAAGAGCACCAATTCCATATTGTATAATAGGAACACTGCACTCCTATTAGAAGCTAGCTGAGAGAAAAGTGTTTGACTCCCAGCTCAGAGCAGACCTGCCTCTAGTGGCTGTCAGCAAGACTGCCACTTGAGGCGTATTTAAACCCTGCAATGTAGGCATTCCCGTATCTACTAAACAGCAATGTTTTAAACTAACGTACCACTGCATCCTTTGTAGAATTTGATACTTGACAATCAAGTGTTCACATAATTTACCCGTAGTGTGACTAATAAACACTAAATGGAACACAAATTAAGCTTTTCAAAGTGTAAGTGCACACTTGCATTTAATATATTCCATAAATAAAATGACAAAATTAAGTTAAAAATCACAGCAATTTAAAGGGATTCTATAGTGTAATAAATACAAATCTGTATTCCTAACATTATAGTGCAGCCCCCCCAGGACCAAAAGGTTTAAAAAACAAAAAAAACCTTTGTTCACTTTCTAGAATAGTTAATGCCTCTCGGAACAGGGTTGGCGATCCGGCACCTCTGATGTCTCCCGATGTGGAGGATGGGATCTAATGTGCATGTGCGACGAGCACATTAGGCCTTCCCCCATAAGAAAACATTGACTAAAGTAATACTTTCCTATGGGTTTTTCACAGATGCTGAATGTCGTCACGCAGAGCATGAGGACGTCTTGCTTTCGTTTAAGTAACTAAAAGTCCCTTAGAAGTCTAATAGCGCCTCTAGTGGCTGTCTGATAGCCACTGGAGGCAGTCTTAGTGCTGCAAAGTAATCATTGCAGTACTAACTGGGATAGGGACATTGCACCCAGACCACTTCAAAAAGATGGAGTGGTCTGGGTGCCTGTAGTGTCCCTTTAATTTCAAATCTGAAGTTTTCTTCTTCCACACAGCACAGTGCCCTGAATTGTACAAAGTGACCACTTTATGATGCAACTGGGACTCCAAAATTCTTAGCATGCAGGTACAGGCTAGGAGTAGTAAGTGGGTTCCCATCTCTTAATTTGGGAAAGGAAAATGCTTTCAGAAAAGGCATTGCAATAAGGCCCATGAAGTGGAAAAATCTTAGGAAATGTATAAAGAAAAAGTAACCTATCAGTTAGAAGAGCACAATGCAGTATCCCAAAACTTAAATCTCCAGGAGGAAATCTGGCAACATTGGGTAAAAAAAAAGAAAAGAAAAGAAAATTAGAAATGGAGCTATTCCCAAGGAGTTCCCTCTTAATACTGCTGCCAATTTTCAATACATCTTAGACAATCATTTTCTCCCATCCTTTTCCAAAAAGGCTGTGATTGATAGTTTTGTTTTTTATATGTATGGCTCTGTTTTTGTCTGTGTTTACAATTACATTTTTAACAAAAACAATCTACAAAAAAAAAATACACAAGGGAGATAATGATCCTGAAGTGTTTTTATTAAAAGTGAAAAAAAACAGGTTTATAGAGAGCGCAAAAGAATATCAGTAAAATAGTGGATTTTCTAAGCAGGTGCTTCAAATTATGATTATCCACAAGAAAAAGTTAATACAAAGCTGCCAGATACACTAAAAACCTTCCCAAGTTTTAAAACATCATGTGTGACATAAATTGAAATAAAAACAATATCAGCGCTTAGTTAATATACCCCTATTTTTTGTATATGGGTCAACAACAAAAATATATTGAATAAATTAAATAAAGAGTCCCAGTTTCAATCTTCTACCTAGGTATCTTGAGAAAGCTCGTTTGAATGAGCGAAACGCGTAGATCGCGTTTCTGGCGGGATTTTTGAATTTGGAGAGACTGCAGCAAGACTGGTTAGTTGGCGTCTCAGTGAGGATCGATCCGAGTGCACAGGACCGGTCTGGAATTAACACCCATGGAGTGGTAACTTTATATTCATCAACCAATATTCTGCATTTCTACGCTTTTATTGTGAACCTTAGAAATAAGTTTCACCACTTTTAATTGTAAGAGTTCCTCTTATGGGGGGATTACCGTATGGGAAATAAAGTATTGTAACTGTATCACGCTATGTCAGTATCTTTTTGATTAAAGGTTGGATACATATAAAAACAAAGTCTTTTTACATCAATTACTGTTACAACTATCAAATCCCTGCGGACATTTGAAAATACCCCATGAAGATTGAAACTGGGACTCTTTAATTTATTCAATATATTTTTGTTGTTGACCCATATACAAAAAAAAGGGGTATATTAACTAAGCGCTGATATTGTTTTTATTTCAATTTTTATTAAAAATGTTATATTCAGCAGCCCATTTAGAGCCACACCATCAATTCACATATTACAGTTAAACAAGAAATCACAAGTAAATCTGGCGTAATAAATGCACCAGGACAATACATTAAAGGTTTCCAAGAGCTACTTTGCCAATCTGTTGCACATGCTCGGGGTCAGCAGCAATGTAGCCCTGTCTAACAACCCTAAGAAAAGCAGGTGTAAATCCAAAAGAGGAATTGTGGACTAAAAACAGTACTGAACATTGCCCCGTTGACCCTTTGACTCAATGAGTTGCACTGTTAGCCAAGTATGTATGGTGCCTTAAAAATACAAACTCACTAAGCCCCTCCCCGATCGCGCTATTGCAATGAATGTTTAATGAGAACAGAAGTGTAAACAGTAAATCATTTTACGCTCTAAATAAAAATAAATTAAAAAAAAGTCAGATGTAAAGAACAATCACAAAAAATAC